TCTCAGCCCGGCTGGCTCTCTCTGGTGCACAATTTCAAACAAGATCCCAAGGCCCCCAGGGAATGCTGTGACTACCTAGTCCAAGCTCCTGCATAAGGCAGGCGAAGGAACTTCCCTAAGCTTGTTTCTCAGGGGAAGAGCTAGTGCACACCTTGTACTGAGTTCTCATCTTTTAGTGTCTGTACCTATATAAGGCATATTATACATCTTACAGAGTGATTTTAAGTCCCGGCTTGACAAAGCCCTGGCTGGGATGATTGAGTTGGGGTTGGTCCTGCTTCAGGCAGGGGTCACATTCGGTAACCTCCCGAGGTCTCTGCCTGCCCTAGGAGACTATGCTTGTCCATACGGTTTGGAACCAGAAACGTAGCAGTCTTTTCTCTAGTACAGCTTCCCTGCCAGTAGGTGACTTCTTCAACCTGATAATATAACTGCACGCTCTAAAAATATTGCTTCCTCAGATATGAACAAAAGGTAAGTTCTCACTCTACAGTTACTGTAGGGCTCATACAAGCATCCTGTAATGAAAATGACATTGTTAAAAATGCAGCAGTAAGCTGTCTAGCTACTAACGAAAGCCAGCTCCATGTGGCAGCTTTACCATATGAACAGCCGTACTGGGTCAGACCAAAGGTCCATCTAGCCCAGTAGCCTGTCTGCCGACAGTGGCCAGCACCAGGTACCCCAAAGAGGATGGACCGAAGACAATGATCAAGTGATTTGTCTCATGCCATCCTTCTCCAGCCTCTGACAAACAGAGGCCAGGGACACCATGTCTATCCTCCTGACTAATCGCCTTTTATGAACCTAACCTCCATGAAATTATCTAGCTTCTCTTTAAACTCTGGTATAGTCCTAGCCTTCACAGCCTCCTCTGGCAAGGAGTTCCACAGGTTGACTACGCGCTGTGTGAAGAAGAACTTTCTTTTATTAGTTTTAAACCTGCTACCCATTCATTTCATTTGGTGTCCTCTAGTTCTTCTGTTATGGGAACTAATAAATAACTTTTCTTTATTCACCCTCTCCACACCACTCATGATTTTATAGACCTCTATCATATCCCACTTCAGTCTCCTCTTTTCTAAACTGAAAAGTCCCAGTAGCTTTAGCCTCTCTTCATATGGGACCCGTTCCAAACCTCTAATCATTTTAGTTTCCCTTTTCTGAACCATGTTGCTTCTGTGCATGGGAAATATTTATCTTTTATTTTATCTTCTTATTTCCGAAACATCTTTCCTCAGATTTCTGTAAACTATTTTAGCGCTGCTGTATCTTTGTTTTTTATTCCTCCCTGCCAACTAGTTCAACTACCTAAACTCTACAATTAAATCTAACCGCCAGGAAGATCACTGGCACACTGCAATCAAACTGCCTTGCCCCTCCCATCCTTCCACTGACTCATTAGTGAGGACCACAAAGGCTAGCACAATAAAAGTAATTCCCATGGCTGCGTTGGGCACGCACACGTGCCAGATAGAACTGCTTTCATGCTATTAGGCAGCGAGAGTCCACACGGCACAGCACTTAACGTAGCTTCTCGTGACGATGAGCACATGGATACAATGTACCGCATTATCAAGGACCTGCAAAGAAGCCCATCTCAAATGGTCAATGACCCTAGGTCTTAAAATATTTCAGGAACATAAATAAAGTAACCTTAGAGTCCAGTTCTACCCACCTCTGACACTTGCTATTGTGGCTCCCGGGACACACTTTAGTTAACCTCTAGTCTCTCTTTGGTAAACAATTAAGTACCATAGACATCAAAACATAGTAAAGACAGACTAGGAGGGGTGGTGAGACCACAGATGGATACACAAAGCTAGTGCAAACAGCATACCTAAACAATACAAGCCTCATGCTGAGCCCAGAAACAAGCTCTGTAAAGCCGAATCCTACAAGAGTCGGCCGAAGATGAAGCCAAAAGCTGATGCAACGGCAGTCATGCTAAATGACATGCGTCTCAACAGGCTGCTGAAACCATCTGCTGGGTAGTAATCACACAAAGTCACCGAACACAGGGGGGCGGGCCTCAATGTATTGTTCCAGAATTATACCCGCCATTTTATGTTGTGAAAGCCAACAGATACACCACCAGCACAGGAGATTCAGCCTATGATAATTAATTGCACTAAGCTTCCAAATTTGATTACAAAACATCCATTTTTACAGTGAATATGTGACACTGCAGCTTGGTCACCATGCCTTTATTGGTGTTTGGCTTTTTAAATACATGTAAATAGATATTTAACCAATGTATCTAACGGAGATACATTACACAGCATGCTTAGATTCTGAATAATCTACGTAGCACATTCCAGCAAACCTGCCATGAGAATGGCGTAACTAAAGGCTAGCAAGACAACTGATTCATGTGCTTATTTTTTCATGCTTTCTTGGGGGGAAAATGAGAAGTCCACAGGTCATGCAGGATGAAAAATCAGCAAGCACAGAAAAGAAAAATGTATCCCAACACGGGAGAGCTCAAAACATCCACTGTGACAATATAACTCCATTCAGTCTGGGGAACTGGAGGGTTATTTTCTCTGCTGCATGTGAGTGGATGCTACACCAAATTCCTTGCTCAACAGCAGCAAAAAGAAAATTGTGAGATACCCTGGAACCAACTGTTTGGTTATACTGTACAAGTGCCATCAACGACACATTTCTTTCTGGATCCTTCATGCAGAGCAGAAAATGCCAGCTTTCACCTCAGAGTTCATGCCCAAAGCAATGGGAACAATCATTTCCAGCTGTTATTTCAGAGCTATTTCAGAAGAAGGAATTTAAGGTTTTCATTGCTGCTGACATGTTAGCTAAACAGTTTCACCCTAGCATGAAGCTGTCACTGGACACAAAAGAAGGGACTTTCTGATTCTGCGGGAGCTCCCCTTAATGTACCCAAAATGTGCAATTTGCTGGCATCAGCTCCTTTCACTTCAGACTTAAGAAAACTATCACAGTGCTTACTTATGCTATACAGCCAGTGTACCTAAGACATTTACTAAAATGATCATAATAAAGATCAGAAAAAAATAGTTTTCAAAGATAGCAAACATTACTGTTTCAAACTAAATTCCGGCCCCCATTCTAATGGCTTTTTTTTTTTTTTTTTTTTGGTCTCATTAAAAAAATCCTTTGGGGCTGAAATTTCCATGCTTTGCCTCAACTCAGAATTCAATTTTTCTGGAAGGGGGAGACACCAGATCTAAACCGATTTGACCACTTTTCAAAACATTAAAGAAAACAGTACCTAACCTGAAAATACCTAACACTACAGGCTGCCAACTGGCAACATTTTAGTTGTCACCAAGGAAAGGTATAAATGTGGATAATTAAAAAAAAATGCTACTGAGCATACACAACAAAATACCTGCCACTTCTTAGTGCATCTCAGCTTTAAAAGAGCCAACTAAGTTAATCATGTAAGGGAACTCAGCAGTGAAACACTTTTTACGTCCTTTGCATAATAGGGAAATACAATCCAAAAGCGGATGTTGATAATCATGGTGAAGTTGAAAATTTAATCAGTTAGAACATGGGTATTCAGAAGTCATTTCCCACAAAAAATTGACACCCATTGCACATATGCAGAATTCAATATTGCTACTTTACGTGTTCAGTGTCAATCGTATTACTGTTTATGCAGTTAATCATATACCATAAATATACAATACGTGAAACACGGCTGAGTTAACACCACTGAGGCTTTCCTGGCTCATATGCTTAATTCTAGTCCCTCAGCAATGAAGTAACATTAGTTTTTAAGATCTCACGTTCATTTTTAACAGGTAAAATATCTCAATTCTGGGTAGTGCTGGCATCTCTCCGAACAAGGATTTCAATTTCACTGACACTTCCTGCCAGGAAGTCTAGCCTGACCGCACAAGTTTGAGACAAAAGAAATGCCGCTCAGTCTTCGAAGTCTCAAGAACGACAGGAAACTGTCAAAGGTGTGTAATGGGGTAATATTAATTAGAAAATTATTAAAACGAGCATTTAAGTGGTCCAAAATATTTTTAAATACCACTCATTTTACAACAACGTTTAAAACCACCTGAATCTCAGATGGCTTTAATGCCAGGCTGCATTTTCTATGCCGAGTACGACAGTATGTTAGAACGGCAGCTCCCTGGGTGACTTCACTATGCTTCTTGGTATTACGACAGTTTAAATGATTTTCTACAGTGATTTAATTCTTCTTTCAAACAGACATAATTATCGGAATATTGCTTATTTTATACTGGGGCTTTCTTTTAATCCCTACCTAACAAGGAAATAATTACAGCAGAGCCTTGATAACTTGCACTAAATAACCAGAAGGCCCAGTGTGAACTGATGAATTTTGAAAATGAGTAAAAATGCGCTTAATAAAAAAGGAAAGAGAATACATCTCAAAATGTATGGCGATTTGACAAACGTAATTTAGGTTTTTTAATGGAGACTACTTCATAACAAGCGTTTTGTGGAGTTAATTCATTAAAATCTCAAACACTGAGACATTACAACAGCACTGCCCTCCTCCCCCCTCCCCCAAGAGAGAACCGAGGGCATGAACAAAGGCCAGTTTACAAGGTTTCACTGCTAAGGCTACTTGCCCAGAAACCAACTCCTCACTTATAAAACGATTCAAACCTATTCCTACTTGCAGAAAGAGCTCATGAACAGGTGGAATGGAGGAAGCTCAAGAACACACTGAGCTACATGACAACTATTCAAATGTTGTAATTATTTTAAAAGGTTCTTTAACTGGCGTGTTGCCTCTGCATGTATTTTTCACACAGGACTCTACACAACGTCAATAAACTGCGTCTGCACCCACGTTTCACTGACGGTGGAAGAGTGAGTTTTCTAGTGGCATTTGCCAGTTCAATAACTTTGTAGCTTGTTCCCAATCCAGCATCAAGGGCTTGGAAATCAGAAGGAAGCAGCTTAATAAAAGGAGAGAATACTTGTCAGGTGGATGTTTGGAACCCTGAAAATGTCACAATTATACATACCCTCTGACTGAAGGTCTAAATATTCTGAGCAATACCCACAGCGAGAGAGAAAGGCAGCAAGAGAGACAGAGATAGGCAGAAAGCAAAGAGGAGAAAGAAAAAGAAAACAGTAAAGATTAGTGCAAAACCAGACAAAAGAATTAAATGTGCATTGCTATCCTCAGATAGTTTTCTTCCCTGTAAAAATGACAAGGCAAGAGGGGTTTACGCTTTTCTAATCACATGCAGCAGCTGAATACTGAGCACCGGAACCTCCAAGTAAAACCGTGCCCCGTATACACAAAAGTAGATGAATCATAATGAACATCCTGCTCAAAGATGACACTTACATACACATTATAGATTACCAAATAGCAAAACATGACAGTAACAGAAACCCCGCTAGTCATCACTACAGAACACAACTCGATCCCTTTGCACATTTTTTTTCTAATTAATCTACTATGTCAAATGTACAATGGATCTTACAGGGGGACGTGTATATCTGCTGATGGTAGCTAACATAGCCTATCCCAGGCGTGTCTCAGCCAAGCCATGATGTAAAAAGCCTAAATGTAGAAGCCAGTTCATCAGCAACACAACTCTAACCTGTGGGTTCACAGTCATAACTGCTAGCTGTTTTTATTTATTTATTGGGGAGGGAGGTACCAATAAGCATAATGATTATACATCACCAGGTCTAGTCTTCATCAAACACAGGTTATGTTATTGTATCCATCACTCTAGTACTGAAGGCTACCGTAGTTCTTGATCACTCTTCTTAATCTAGAAGATGATTTTGGGCCATCCTGGCAGCTGGTGTACTACAATGTGGTCCTGTGGTATACCAGGGAGTGACCCTTGACCTTAGCTAGGATGTGATGGCACGCACTGTAGGTTACCAGTAGCTTGAAGACTCTAACATGGAGCAACAATTCTTGGGGGTCTACTTGTCCTATGCTGTAAACTTCTGCAGGTGTACTCCACATCCTAACATGGGGATGTCCGTGACAGTCTTAGTGGTAGGTGGATGTGAGAAGGGCCTCCCAATGCATACTCTTTGTGGGTCCTTCCATCAATGGAGTGTGTCAAGGCTCCCTTGGACAGGCTATGTTTATTTGGTGCGCAAAGGATTCTGAGATGGGCTTGAAGCTATCGGGAGTAGAATCTTGCAAGAAGCGTCATACATGTGTAGGCTACCATAAGATCCAAGCAAAAGTTCTCTGTGGTCAGAGAGCTCTATTTTATCATGAAAATGAGGCTGGACATGTGTTGCACGTGTCTGTGGGTATCTATTCCCTACTGGTTACTGAGTCCAGCATGGCCCTGATTAAGTCTATATGATGTCTATCATTTCCCTAGGAGGGTGGGGAAGCACTGGGATGGGTTCCCTAGGGAGATGGTGGAATCTCCATCCCTAGAGCTGTTTAAGTCTCGGCTTGACAAAGCCCTGGCTGGGTTGATGTAGTTGGGATTGGTCCTGCTTTGGGCAGGGGGCTGGACTTGACCTCCTGAGGTCTCTTCCATCTCTAAGATTCCATGAACAGGTATTAGGTTGGACTTCTCTGCACAGAGGTGAAGACCCAGGGAAAGAAACAGAGCTAGCCACATGATGGTGTCTGACCTGACCTCAAAGAAGAAGCTGCCCAAGTAGAGGAAGACAGCTATTACCGACTGACAGAGGCGAGTGGAACCACGGACAGTCATTTGTAAAGGCTTCAGACTGGTCCCTGTGGTCCTGTGGCAGATGGTCAATGAACTGGAAGAACATGAGTGGATGGTGGGATCATTTTTTGATAGCAGGGCATGATCATTTTGCTATCCTACATTGTAACGCTCCTGAGGAGCAGATCTCAGCAGGTGACTGCTTCAGAGTCAGTGGTGGGTAAGAACAAAGGCCACCAAGGCCAAATGGTGGCAAGTGTCTGCCAGATGTTATGGGGCTGGTGACAACAGACCAGTGCTACCTTCCCTTGTGGTGCAGCATGAAAGATAGCCATCAGGGAATGTCGGTTTCCTGCACCTCCTATAGGGGAGCTGTAAAGTCTCGCCCACCCTCCTCATCAAGTATTGAAACTCTGTGAAGTCAGCTGTGTAGAATGGATAAAGGAGCAAGGCAGCTTCTCCAGGAGTTGACGAGGATTTGTCCGAAGAGGGAGCTTCCTTCATGGACGCTTCACTCTCGGTGGTCCACAAAGCCTTCCTGTGGAGGTGGTGCATCTGTGCAAGAAGCTCTCTGAGCCCAGCCACCTACTCCTTTTGGCACGTCTTCTATGTGAAGGCGCCTGGTAATATCGGTTGCTGTGGAGAGCCCAGTGTGGCAGGGTATGTGGAAAGTGAGCTGGACTGCAAGGGTGCTCCTGCCCAGGTTGGCAGGGAGGGTGATGGCTAGATTCCAGAGTCTCTTCGCAGGGTACACGGCAGGAGATGGAGGACAGGAAGGAAGGGTGGTTGAATCTTGGACAGAGCTGTCCAGTTCAGAGGACGTGTCATTCTCCGAGACCAATGGGGAAGCTGGAACTGGCAGCAGAGTCTGTTCTGGGGGTCGGCTAGGTTCTGGCAGATGAGGGGGGAAACGGCGTACAAGTCGGTACAGCTGGCCAGCTTGGTCGGTACTGGACAGTGCCTCAGGTGCGGACACACGTGTCCTCTCTACACCGCCAAGGAGAGTGGAATCTGCTTCTTCTGCCATGCAGCGGTCCTGGGGGGAAAGAACAAAGTCGGCACTGGTGGCCTAGAGTAGTACTCCTCCACTGGAGACTGTGCTGCATGGGCCTGCACACTCCCTTTGCCTGTGAACCCCCGAGGGGCCGAAGTCAGGGTCGGTGGTTTCTTTGAATGCCTATATCTGGAGGGCTCCGAAGTACAGAGCAGGGTGCTGAGCAGGGCTGTTTGCCAACAGGCTTCTCTTCACAGGGAGTGGGGCAGATCTCTTCGGCAGTGCTGAAACCTTCAATGCCAAAAGGAGCAGGAGCCCCTGTGATATCCAGAGCGGGACGTGACGTCTCCTTGACCCTGATTCTTTAGGGAGATCTCTCTCAGTGCTTCGAGTGCCAATCAAAAGACTGGGATCTCTTCCGCTTGCAGTGTTTGAAGGCCTCCGATGCTGGCCCTTGCCTGCTGCTCCCTGGAGCTACTGCATGAGTTAACAAGGTCTCAGAGCTCTCCCCACAGAAAGGTGCGTTCGTCTACTTTACTCAGCTTGCAAGATCGGATTCTAAACCTGGGGTGGTCTTGGGATTCTCCAAGGCAGCTGGAATGCCTGTTGCTGACGGAGAAAGAGCCATGGCAAGTCTGACAGGGGTTGAAGCCTGGGGTTTGGAGCATAGTCCGACAAAGAATAAACCACCGCTGGGGGAGCCCTAGCCCTGGCAAACAACAGGGCCTGGGGAGAGCACAAAGAAAATGGAAAACTGGCACTAAGGAAGAGAACTAAAATAAAAATCAAGGTTTAAAACCAAGTAAAATAAGCGGATACAAAAACAAGGGACGAATGAGGCAGGTAAGTAGCGGGCACCACAACTGTCTGTCTCCTGCCTTGCATACGATATTTCTCCCCTTCATACATCTCAGAATGATACTAATCTTCACAACTGCATCTCATGGTTGACTAATATTCCAACTGCGACCCTCTGTAACGCCGAGATCCCTTTCAGCAGTACTAATTATCCGCCGCTGTGAAGTTGAGGGATGGCTCTTTCCTTCCCAAGCGTACTCCCTTGCACTTGTTTTTACTGAATTTCATCTTACTATCCATCTTCTGTATCATCTCCATCTCAGGCCAATTTTTCCACTCTTAATAATGGCGAATGATTTCCCTCTGGTTTGAAATTCCTTTGGAGGAGATTAGGAAGGACAAACTGTAGTGGTAATCCTTTTGGTGATTATTTACGATCTTTAAAATCTCTGGTATAGTTCATTATTGCTTTACTTAACGTTAGGATTCACTGTGAAATCATCTATTATGTAGCAGCATGATGACTGAAGAGTATTAAACCCTAATAATAAGCATTTCTTTAGCACTTGGCATCCTCTTAGAACTTTACTACACACATTAATTCATTAATCATCTGCATGCCTGTGCAATGAATATTAGTTACGTTTTATGGATGAGCAAACTAAGGTACAGAAACTCACCCCCATATCATGACAAATGCTCATCTGAAGTTACATAAAACTTCATTACAACCCTTGGGGTATCTCAGAGACCGGGGGAGGGACCAGCTTCTGACAAGTTTTTAAGCTTACATAGGACTCTTTTGCAGGTCTGGGAAGTGTCCTAGCAAAATCCAAGGTGAGATGGATTGTGTAATATAAGCAGTTAACAGGTATTTCAAGGGACCATTCAAAGTGAAGTGACTCTTCTTTAGGGGAAAAGAAAAAAAATAAGCTGGGAAGGAAGTTTGATTAAATGGATTGTTGTACAAAGCCAGAAATCCAGTGTGCTTATTCAGTCCATGATTTTAGGTGCTGCTAGGGTGACCAGATAGGATGGAGGGGGTGGCACGCCAGAGCCCCTGTATTCACCACTGTAACACGATTACCGCATGCTCTGTACAAAGTATGCCATGTGAGGTATCATTTGAAAAGTCTTGGTTTGCTGACCCATAATACCGTACTGATCTGCATGCGATGTTATGAAGCATAGCTCCTTAAGTTCCTGAAATACAGTGTGAGGTCGGGAAATGCCCACCACAGGTCTTTCAGCAGAGGCAAAGGAGAAGCAATCACTGGCCAGATCGGCGCTGGTGGTCCATTGAGACTAATCCGCTCTCCCAAAGGTTTCTCAGAGGAAGCATGTACACCATGAGGGCTGCCTAAGCCACCTCACAGAAGAGCGTTCTAGCAAAGGAAGTGGGCTTTGCCCACCAAAGCTTATGACACTATTCATATTTTGGTTAGCCTCGAAGCCGCCCCAGGACCACTCACCGGTTTTAAAGCTCCCTGCTCTGAGACTTTTTATATAAAAGAGGGACAGTGACATCATTACTTGCCCGCGTTCCTTTCCTACCCCCCCTCTCAACAACTGGAAGAGCATCTGGAAGCCAAAACCTTTGACCCAGGCACACTGGCTCCAGGCTGGAAAGGAGTTCATTCTGGGGAGCAGGAACTGTGAACAGCCTGCAGTGTCTGTTAGGGCAAGACACTGATTCAAATCTCGCTGTGCGCACGGAAGTCCGAACTGAGATTAAGAATGTGTTTTTTTATTTCTTAGGCAACCAATTCGGAGCTCCATGTTTGCAGTTTAGCTTCACTTAAAATCGGCCTTTGTGTTTCAGACTTGACCCAAGCCTTTGTGTTTTGGTTGAAGCGCTTGGGGAATCTCAGCTCACCTAATGAAGGCTGGTGTGTGTCTCCACTTTCCTTTGAAGAAGTGGCAAACTAATTTGTGAGCTTGCCCTGCCCAACAGAGTCTTGAGCAGCATAAGAGGGTGGGGATGGAGGTGCCAGGCCGAGTTCGGGGGGGACTGGCTGGTGCGTCTCTCTGCATGAGTCATGAACGACTCAAGAAGCCGTCACACAAGGTAAAGCTAGTATGGGGCACCGCATGCTGATGGCTGAGAGGCAGCACCTCTAGGGGTTTGCTGACTGTCACTGGCACAGCACTGTGAGAAGCTGGGGAGGTAAGGAAGCACAGTGGCCCCACAGTTCCAGGCTGAACCCTGGGGATCCTGTAAGGGAGGGCATGGGGAGGAATAGGTTGCCTATATAAGATAAAGCCTCTAAAATCAGGACAGCGGGTGTTAAGTGCTGCTTGGAGATGATGTGTCCTGGTCTGCGGAGAGCTTGCTTCTGATAGCAACCTTGCAGATGGCAGGGGTTGGAGAGGGTGTTTTCTGAAGGCCAGAAGAGGGGTTTTTCATGGAGCATGGGTGGTAAATTTTGCATGCTACCCATATGGGTTCCAGGATGGGGTAGTAGGTGATAACTAGAGATGCGTGGTCAGAGGTGCTTTATTTCTGTATTGAAGCAAGTTCTCTCCGGGTATTTAAATGGCCCATTCCATGATGCGACCTGCTTCTCTGATGGAGAGTCCCTGTCACGCAAAAATGGTTTTAAGTGTGTTATCCCAGCTTTTCTCCTCAGCACACAGTCTGTGGTATCCAAGTGCCGGGCCATAGCTAACAGATCTCTTGCTGCACTTGGGGCGGTTACTGGACCTGGGAAAGAAAGTGTGCTGATCTTTGGGTCTGTTGTGTAGAGTTCTCTGTAGGGTTCCATTGTTGGAGCGGATTGTGGCACACAGGAAGTTGAGCTAGTGTGGCAGTGACCCAGTGAGAGTTTAATGGGTGGCGGTCCTCAAAGATGTGGCGGAAATCGATGAAGGAGTACAGGTCGTCACTGATGCATCTCAGGTATATCATTGGCTTCACGGTGCATTTGTCCAGAAACTCTTCTCCAAGGTGGCCCCAACAAAGAGTTGACATATTGTGGATCCATCCTAGTAACAATGGCTGTTCCCACAGTTTCAACATGGTGTTTGTTGCTGAATGTAAACGCCTTGAAGGTGAGGACGAAATGGACGAGTTCGGCAATGTATCTGGAATGGGTATTCAAGAGTTGTCCCTTATCTTACAAAAATCCAAGGCGGAGTGCAATGCCACCCCTGGAGAGGGATGCTAGGGCACAGGGAAGGGACATCCATGGTGGTAAGGATGGCTTCCTCGGGGAAGGGGATTCAAGTTGCAGTTTCTGAAGGAAGTCAGCTGTACGCTGGAGGAAGCTGGTTCTGTATGAGGGACTTGAGGATGGTTTCTGTGAATTCCACTATAAGTGACATCACATTTTTTAATCTCCCCACCTCCCTGACTAGAGGGGTGTGCATAGGCCACTTCACCCTGGTCCTTTGAAATGTGTGTTATACTAAGCACTCTGATTCACCTTGCATTTAGCTGTGGCACTAGGTACCGTTCCAAAACGCGAAGAAGAGCTCTGGGTGGCTCAGAGCTTGTTTCTCACACCCACAGAAGTCGGTTCAACAGTACCTCACCCACGTCATCTAAAGTTAGGCACCTGAATTCATACTTATGGACTTCAGGTCTGATTGTCAGGGAGAATGGCAGCCCCAACTTCCCTGATGACAATGGGAGCCAAACCTGTTTCTGAAAGATCAGTTCACTTCTAATTAGTGCCTGAATATAGATGTAGATGCCTAATTTCAGGGATCTAAATACAAAAATGTTAACCTAAGTGACTTGCTGAAGCCACAGAAAGAGCTGAGATTTAATCCCGGCTGTATCAAGTTCTGAGTGCAGACAGCATTAGACTATGAAACAATAAGGGCCCACTGGGATCGTGAATTTAGACAATGTCATGAAGTTTATACTAGACCCAAAATGTTTTTACAGGTCTCCGGGTCTTTCCCCAACAGCCATTTGTTTTAGGTTCTGGTTGAGATTATGGCCGTGTTAATAGATCATACTTTTATAGTGGAGATTGTTGTTATCAGAGCATTTGCTTGCATTGCAAAAGCAGAATTAGTTGAAAACAGCCACAATCCTGCAAAACAAAGCAGGTTCTGGAAACTTTGTTGTTTTGGTTTTAAGTTATAACCATACTTACCTGAGAGAGATTCCTGTAGATAAAAAGCATTCATTTAAAATTGCAATGTTTAGATTTAGCAGTGTCCTGGGCAACGACATATCTAGCTAATCAAAATAAGGATACCCTTTTCCCAATCTGCTATGAAGCTAATGTAAACGTCAAGCAAAATGCCGAACAGGATTTATACTGCTGTGGTGTTAAAGTGAAACAAGACACAGTTAAATTTAGAGCAGGGCTCTGGCTCTAAATGCCATAGATCCAGAGAGGGGATAATACATTTGGAAGACAGTACTAGCTACCACTGCATGCTCCAAATGTTTTACTTCATTAAAATCCAAGGGTCAATGGGCATGAGAAAAGGAGCCAGGTGTATTATGAACAGCAGAGAGGGCTACTAGCTCAGATGACCCAGTCAGAAACAACTGACGAACTTTCATTTTTTTCAGCCTATTCTCTAAAAACAGTCTGCCAGGCCGTGTCATCTCTGGTCATGGGAATTTGTCCCATTTATCCAAGTAGCTCTCCTGAAGCAAATTGCTTTGTCGGCAATGAAATTTTATGCATCAGGTTTTTGTTTCAAGTCTGCAGCAGAAAAGGCAGCCTGTACTGACGCAGAAGTTCAAAAATGTTCAGATTATAAAAAACTCAACACAGATTGGATTAACCAAAATCTGTCACTGGTTTATTTTCTGCAGTAAGTTTGCTTTGTTTTACAGCCACATTACTTCAGCATGCCATTTTATGAGCCACCTTTTCCTGATTCTAGCGAATGTTCACTAGAGTAAAAAGGTGTGTCAGGTACTTCAAACTGACCATTATCTGCTTCTAGTAAATTTCCCAAAACATTGGGGCCCTCAGTTAATTGGATCCTACCTACAAGCATGTGGGTGAAGGACAGGAAAGAAGAAAAAGGGATCCTGTATAACATTTCAGAAAGTACCAACACTGCCCATTTTCAAACGTGATTTCAGCTCTTTGGAGCCTGAGTCAACGTGTCAACATATTCCCCTTGTAAGAACTTGTGAAAAGTACCCTCTGACCTGAGGAGTCTTATGGGAAAACCTTTTGGAGGATGCGTCTCTTAGGGCTCTGACAAAGATGCTGTCCGTAAGTCACCATAAACTTTGGGACTTGGAATGTCTAATTCTGGGGATTTGTGCTTCTTACAATTTATGAGTGAATTTCCAAAAATGAGGAAACAGCAATAACTTGAACCGTTTCAACCCATCACTCCAGGTAGTTCTATGGGACACCAATCTCCATGCTGATCCATAAACACCACGTGCTATTTGTGACACCTAGCCTCATGTGGCTCTGCTAGTGGATCTCACTCTTGGTTTGCATCTCCTACTACTCCACTCCTACTTCTCATGGGAGCTGACACTGCCAGTTATGTGGTAGGTTTGCAGTGTGACGCAGTGGCTAGCAGGACCTACATTTTCACCCTACAGCTCAGAAAGCATTTGCTTAGCAGTAATAAATACTTCAATTTATCAGTGCCCAGGAAGGCCACAGATCACCATAACAAAACCGCCTCAAGTCACCACTCAGAACTCAGGGCTCAGAAAATAAAAGCGCAGCGACGTTCTCATGCATTTACATTTTTATCTTGTTTGCACGACTAGGTCTTTACATCCCATGAGTGATTTACACTTGGTTTTAAATCAGAGGTGAGATGCCAACTGTTTTGTGCTGTATTTGGAGCCAGATTACACGTCACAAAACCCTAATGGGCATATCTACCCCATCCCCAGCTGATTTCTTTCGCACCTGGTGAACACAGCCTTCTCGTTCTTAGCGTCCATGGTCAGTTTGATGGTCTCCTGGCCTGAACCTGTACTGATGGTCTCTGTGACGATATCAGCTTTATCCTCTTCCTCGCTGTCTGACCCGCCAGAGGAGCTGCTGTCTGAAGCTACCAGAGGTGCCTTCCTTGCCACGCAGACATTCCAAACACAGGGGGAGGCAGCGCTAACTGCAGAGAAAGAGTCAATAATTCACATGAGAAAATGAACAGGTGCACAGGAAGCACTGCTGAACACCCAAGTACTTCCAGGGAAACAGAACGGTTACTTACCCGGCAGCAGCTGTGGCTCTTTGAAATGTTGCTTTTTTTTTTTTTTTAAATGAATGGAGATTGCCTATCTCCTAGAACTGGAAGGGACCTTGAAAGGTCATGGAGTCCAGTCTCCTGCCTTCACAGCAGGACCAAGTACCATCCCTGACAAATTTTTGCCCCAATCTCTAAATGGCCTCTGCAAGGATTGAACTCACAACCCTGGGTTTAGCAGGCCAATGCTCAAATCACTGAGCTATCCCTTCCCCCAGTACAGATCCCACCACAGACAATCATGAGCCTCACATAGGAGATTTTTGTTTTTTAACAAGAGCACCCACCGGGGCTTCACGTGCGCCCTGTGTCTCCTTGTGCTCCTGTGCAGGGGCATAACAGGCGGAGCAGCCACAATACTCCTTTGGGTCCCTCACAATTCAAAGCCTGGGCCCCTGAGGTCCCCCCCAAGCAGGGACGGAGGACGAGTTGTGGGATCTGCCCTGACACCAGCACCTCAAAGAAACACAGCTACTGCACAGGAAGTAACTGTTCTCTCCTCCTCGGGCGTACGTCTGTGTGGCGCTGTCGGGGACATGCAAGCGGTACCCCCTTGGAGCAGTGGGAATGGGAGTGGCAGCTGCATCAGTCAGACCGAGGTTTCTCTCCAGCATCACCTCTGCTCTAGCGGCCAAGGGCACGGCGCAGCGCTTGGCAAAAGTCAATGGGCACTTTGTGGTGCAGGCAGAGGGGGTTACTTGAGCTCTGACATTCAGTGGAAGAGAGAGACCCATTAGCTCCACTGGGTTAGCCATCTTTGACCCCCAGTGCGAGGAGGTGACTTGACCGCTAGAATACCCAGCTGCCACTGCAGACAGATAAGGAACGGGCGGGACCCATTCAATCCTGTCAGCATAACAAAGAGCAGGCCTGGATACATCGAGTGCATGGGTTCCCAAACTGGGGGGGCATGCCCCCCTAGGGGGGCGAGAAGAAATTCATGGGGGGCATGAGGCAACCCAGCCCCCCCACCCCCGTAAATCCCCCCACAAGTTTTGCTATTTTTGTTTTTCAACCCCAGTTGATTCCTTTTTTTTTTCCCAACAAGTTTTGCTGTGTGGTTTTTTTTTTTTGGGGGGGGGGGTGTCAAAAATCAAAAAGGGGGCATTGATGCCAAAAAGTCTGGGAACCACTGTTAGTTCTTTTCTCCAAGTGCCAACTCTGGCTCTGGGAAGAAAAGAGGCGGAAGACAGGCAGGTAGATGGAATTCGAGAGCACCCGGGGCCTGGACTTGAGGTACGCTCGCAGAGCGACCTGGCCTCTGTGGAACGTCATACAGAGAGTGAGGGAAGGGCTCAGCTGGAAGCGAGTGAAGCTCAGTGATTTTCCTGGCCAAAGTAATGGCCACTAGGAAACGGCTTTCGGAGTGAGGCGGTGCCGGGTGCAGGCTGACACAGGTTCAGACGGAGGCGCCATGTATCCCAGGACCAGACTGAGGTCTCAGGAGGAAAAGCTTCTCTGCCTGTGGCAAATGCACAGTGGCCTTTTGTGGAACTTTGATATCCTGGGGTGAGAGGCCCAATCCTGGCCCTACAGGCACGTGGCAGGCTGAAATCACAAAGTGGATCTTGGCAAAGCTAACTGAGAGGCAGTCAGGAGTTGATGATATCTAGCACCAAGGGGGCTGGACTGTGTCCAGACCCCTCAAGGCAGGATCAAGCTCTGTCTACACCATCCCTGACAGATGTCTATCTAACCTGTTCTTAAATATCTCCAGAGAGGGAGATTCCACCACCTCCCTTGGCAATTTATTCCAATATTTGACCACCCTGACAGTTAGGAATTTTTTCCTAATGTCCAATCTAAACCTCCCCTGCTGCACTTTAAGCCCATTACTCCTTGTCCTGTCCTCAGAAACCAAGAGGAACAAATTTTCTCCTTCCTCCTTGTGACACCCTTTTAGATATTTGAAAACCGCTATCATGTCCCCCCTTAATCTTCTTTTTTCCAAACTAAACAAGCCCAGTTCATGAAGCCTGGCTTCATAGGTCATGTTCTCTAAACCTTTAATCATTCTTGTTGCTCTTCTCTGTACCCTTTCCAATTTCTCCACATCTTTCTTGAAATGTGGCGCCCAGAACTGGACACAGTACTCCAGCTGAGGCCTAACTAGTGCAGAGTAGAGCGGCAGAATGACTTCACGAGTTTTGCTTACAACACACCTGTTGATACAACCTAGAATCATATTTGCTTTTTTTGCAACAGCATCACACTGTTGACTCATATTCAACTTGTGGTCCACTATGACCCCTAGATCCCTTTCTGCCATGCTCCTTCCTAGACAGTCGCTTCCCATCTTGTATGTATGGAACTGATTGTTCCTTCCTAAGTGGAGCACTTTGCATTTCTCTTTATTAAACCTCATCCTGTTTACCTCTGACCATTTCTCTAACTTGCTAAGGTCATTTTGAATTATGTCCCTATCCTCCAAAGAAGTTGCAACCCCACCCAGTTTGGTATCATCTGCAAACTTAATAAGCGTACTCTCTATCCCAATATCTACATCATTGATGAAGATATTGAATAGTACGGGTCCCAAAACAGACCCTTGAGGAACTCCACTTGTTATCCCTTTCCAGCAGGATTTAGAACCGTTAACAACAACTCTCTGACTACGGTTATCCAGCCAATTATGCACCCACCTTATCGTGGCCCTATCTAAGTTATATTTGCCTAGTTTATCAATAAGAATATCATGCGAGACCGTATCAAATGCCTTACTAAAGTCTAGGTATATGACATCCACCGCTTCTCCCTTATCCACAAGGCTCGTTATCTTATCAAAGAAAGCTATCAGATTAGTTTGGCATGACTTGTTCTTCACAAACCCATGCTGGCTATTCCCTATCACTTTATTACCTTCCAAGTGTTTGCATATGATTTCCTTAATTACCTGCTCCATTATCTTCCCTGGGACAGACGTTAAACTGACCGGTCTGTAGTTTCCTGGGTTGTTCTTATTCCCCTTTTTATAGATGGGCACAATATTTGCCCTTTTCCAGTCTTCTGGAATCTCCCCTGTCTGCCATGATTTTTCAAAGATCATAGCTAAAGGCTCAGATACCTCCTCTATCAGCTCCTTGAGTATCCTGGGATGCATTTCATCAGGACCTGGTGACTTGCTGACATCTAACTTTCCTAAGTGATTTTTAACTTGTTCTTTGTGTATCCTATCTTCTAAACTTACCCTCTCTCTGCTTGTATTCACTACGTTAGGCACACCTCCAGACTTCTCGGTGAAGACCGAAACAAAGAAGTCATTAGCATCTCTGCCATTTCCAAGTTCCCTGTTACTGCTTCTCCCTCCTCGCTAAGCAGTGGGCCTACCCTGTCCTTGGTCTTCCTCTTGCTTTTAATGTATTTATAAAAGGTCTTCTTGTTTCCCTTTAAACCTGAAGCTAGTTTGATCTCATTTTGTGGCTTTGCCTTTCTAATCTTGCCCCTGCATTCCCGTGTTGCTTGCCTATATTCATCCTTTGTTATTTGTCCTAGTTTCCATTTTTTATATGACTCCTTTTTTATTTTGAGATCATGCAAGATCTCCTTGTTAAGCCAAGCTGGTCTTTTGCCATATTTTCTATCTTTCCTACACAGCGGAATTGTTTGCTTTTGGGCCCTTAACAACGTCCCTTTGAAATACTTCCAACTCTCTTCAGTTGTTTTTCCCTTCAGTCTTGCTTCCCATGGGACCTTACCTACAAGTTCTCTGAGCTTATCAAAATCTGCCTATCAAAATAGTTGTATGATATGAGGCTGCCCATTCAGAAAAACCTTTGATTGTGTGCTCTTCTGGCACATGCTTTCCTGCTCTGTCTAACAATCTGCTGGACCAGAAGGAAGCAGACTCTACGGCAATGGTACTCAACCAGCCAGCAGCCATGACATCAGGGGTAGTGACTTCAGCTCTGGATGGAGTATCTGGCCATACTGTAACAAGACAGGTCTGGACAGGGTGGAAGCTGAAGGAAAGGACAGATATTTGCAGCAGGCCATTCGCCAAAGCTCTCCTGGCCCATGTGGTGCTTCAAAAATGATGTTAGCCTTGTCTCTCGATTCTGGAACCCTGTCTGGGACTCAGCGAGCCAGTGGAATGACATATAAGCAACTCTGGGACTACTGCAGAAAGGTATCGCCCTGTAACAACCTCCCACTCATGTTCACTTTAGGACAAAACTTCTGGCACTTGGCACCGATAGAACAGCAAATGTTAATCGCTGTGTTTTTCCAACACAGGAACGTCGGTGCTCTTCTACAGGGACCACTCATGAGCAGTGCACAAAAGGTCAGCGTGTTGTTACTGACAGCCACACAGTGAGGAGTGCGATAGTCCTGGGTGTGCAAAGGACCGAGTCACCTTGTTACTCCCCTGCCTCCAGCGAGAGGGAGTCTTTCTTGTGGTAGCAGGGTGTCAGCACCCCGACACCGCCAGGCTTTCAGCCACTCGAGCACTATTCTCCATGCTTGTTCCAGCTCTAACATTTCCTTGCAGGATAACAGTAGGTGCTTCCCAATTCCCGGGTCCCTTTGAATCGCATTCCTGTGGTACCCAGCCCCTGACACCAGATACCCACAGAAATTCCAGATCTCTATCTCCAGACTGCAGTGTACTCCAATTTAATAGTTCTGCCCTAAATCACTGCTCCTGTAAGCCACACAGAACTTGGGAGCACGTTAAATAAAACAGGAGAAAGTTTGAAAAAGAGTGAGAGTAAGAATTTAACCAGAAATAAGAAAGTGATGGGAAAAATATTACACCACAACACAAAACCATAAACCGGGGCCGACAGTTATGCATAGTCACCGTTCCTATCCACTAACATAGATTTTTCTTCCAAAGATAAGTCTGCTGCAGAGCTGACTGGTTTCTCAAGAATGAGGATCCAAACCTTCATGAAAGCTGTTCATTCTGCAAGGGGCTCTCCTCAGTGAAAGATAAAAGAGCATTTGGCCCTCCTCTGCGTCACCCGAAGACAATCCTCTGATTCTGTTCACAGACAGGGCAACCTCAGCATGTTGTGAAGTTTATTTTCTCTCTTTGAGTGACTTTGATGATTTGTCATTGCCTCTCATGGTTTCCTGTTAATTTTGCGCACGGCTAAACAACTGAGCCTTGCATTACCTTGCCAGCTAAACTCCCCCTTCCTTAAATGGGCCACCACCGAGACACACTAGCTTCAGGTGACTCGTTCCCACTCAAAGTCCATAAAGCACGCTTTCAGAATAAATGCACTAGTCCTTACATATTTTCTATACCGTCCACTCACATTGCTCACACTGAATCTTGACAAGTTACAGTCTCTCTGTAGCTATGCTACATGTTACTCCTTCCAGACAAAAGACCTGTAAGGTGTGTGTGGTGTACCGAATTCATCAGGTCTGAAGTGAGAGATGTTGGCAAAGGCTGGGGACTTTGCCAAGCAATCTGTGTCTCAAAAAGAGGAACCGGGTTTAGCCCATGCTGGTGGCATCATTTCCAGAGGCGAGATGAGCGTGTGCCTCTGCCCATCGGGATCTGCGCTGTGGAGTTCTGAAGAACAAGTAGAAAGGTCTTACACCTGGTGGCTCCGGTACCCGCTGGGGAACACATCCCTTGCATTAGCAGGTGGCTCAGGCTGCTCAGTCCGTACTGCGGCATCAGTAGTTAAAGTTTTTGTCGGGGAAGGGACAGAGAATAGTGCCCCTGAGCTCCTTCCCCCTGCTCAGTTCTGGGACAAAGTGCAGTGGGCTAACCAAATTCTTGTTCATCTGGGGAGAAGACCCACCTGAGACAGAATGGAGAGATCTCATAGGACATTTGGCAGGCAGTGTCACATACCTGTGTAACCCTCACACCGAGTGTGGGTCACTGACCCACATAGTGGCACTTAGACCACTTACAGTGAGAGATAAGAACAAGGGAGCTCTACAGCCAAAGCTGAAAAGCAGCTGGCTTTATAGCTCAAGCTGTAGAGGCGCCTACACTAAGCTCCAGAGGTCGCAGGTTCAAAACTTCTCAGTGGCAGTTACACTTGCACACTGACCCATGGCTTAGCAGCCACCGGCATATCTGTACAGTTGTCAAGTTTAATTCTATCCCACACACCAGCAAATAAAGCAAGAGCAACCTATCTGTAGGTAGACATGCTCTCATTGAACCAGACCTAACCAGGAGTCCTCAAAGTATCACCTGTGATGGGATGAGAAATGAATTTTCAGAGTTATCCAGCAGACTCAGCTGAGGGAGTGGATATACTTCAGGTGCATCACAGCCTCCTGGCTGAGCTATGCCCCAGTCAGCCAATTTTCCAAGCAGGGGTAGACATGAATGCCCTCTTTGGGATCAAGAAGGTGTCCGACTTCTGTAGTGATAGGCACATCTGAAGGCCTTGCTCAACTCTGTCATGGGGATCAGTATTGGGACCCAGGCCAGGTCTCCTGCTTTGCCTGTCTGCTCAGGGGCTTTGCTCTTCAAGTGATGCCAAATATTTTCCCTCCAGAAGCTTCTCTCAGCTTGGAGCTATGCTGATGCTCAGACAGGCTATTCCAAGACGTTCATGAGCAGGCACAGGTGCCAGCTTTTCCACCTGAGTTGCGTCAGTCAGTACCAGAGCCAGAGTTGTCAGCCCCAAAACTACCAGTGCCGATACGCTCAGCACTGGAGCTCTGGACACTGAGGTGTCCCACACTGGTGTCCTTTTCACTTTCTTTCCACCACCCTCTCTCGGAACTTGAAGAGTGCTGGATAGTGCCTGATACTGGTTTAACCGTTTCCTTCTAGGCCTGGAGTGTCCTACACAGACTGCTCAAGTAGATGCAGCTGCAGCCACGTGTCCCTGGACTTGAGGGCCTACGTAGAAATGGTATCAGCTGTGTCCATCCTTGATGGAGATCAATCCACTGCAGGAGGGCAGGGTCTGAACCCTGAGGGCTTGGACTGCACCATGAGACACGGAGCATGGCACAAAGTGCCACATCCCATTGTACAGGGGATCCATTTCTTTTCGAAGGACCATCTTTCGGAGAAAGCACGAGAAGACCACATTTTTCACTAAATGGGTCAAGAGAAGTGGTTCAAGGTCTCTTCGGAGAGGAGCCGTCTTGAACTTGCTGTGTTCTGTTTCATTGCCAACGGCGGCAAGAGGCAACCAAGGGAGAGCTGCAGCCACTCCCTTTATGTCCTCTCACGGGAACATGAGGAGCATAGAGTGAGGGTTTGGCCCTGACTTACAAAAGAACCCTGTCTCATAACTGACATCCACAACAGGATCCACACTGACCCATACTCAGAAAGAGAGACTTGTCATAGAAGGGTTACAAAGTTTGTTTTACAACACAACCAGAAGCACAGGTGAGAATAAGCCTCACTAGGTAACTCCCCTGCTTTTCCTACATACCTTTAAGATTCTTAATGTTCTGAACTGCTACAAGGTTGGGGCAAATTTGTACCTCTACTTCTGATGCTTAAAATTCTGTTTTGATCTAAGATGGGTGAAAATACACCCGGGAGTTTCTTCATTTGATGTTGTGGTGTTAATGTCCTGAAGTTTGGTTGTTTGATACCAGCAAGATTAGTTTTAGGACCTGAAAACCAAAACACCAGAGGGGATCTTCTAGGTTAATGGGAGACTCAAGCTTTAAGCTGGCATTGAGTGAATCAGAGGCTTAAACGCTTATTCCCATTGGAGGAGGGAGGATATGGAGTTCAAGAAAAGCCAGAAAAATCTCTCTGGATTTCTAGTACTTTCTAGCTCTGGCTTATCAGAAATACAGCCGGTATAGCTTCTCTTGCTGTGTTTTGGCACTTCTACTCCTGGTATCAGACAAAATCACACACCACAAAGGAGTGTGGATTTATTTTAAAAAGTTAAGCCAAAATTTCAGAGCCTTTGTGCTTCAGTTCTGTGAGAAGGTCCAGACTGTTCTCTAATTTAACCTCAAAGACACCAACATTAGTGCTTTAGTCTCTGCTGTCACTACTTTCATCTTCTCACTTTTATTGGAATCCAGATTCCAAAAATCACTTTTTGTGGTATTACAATTTTTGGAAACTGATTTTTTAAAGATGACCTGAAAAGAAACAGGAAACTATTTGCTACTACAGCATAATCTTTCCAAGCAGTAGATGTGGGGTCTCCACAATTTAACTCTGCCCAAAAAAAAGAGACCTTTCTACTGCTTTACAGATAAGTAGCAACATTTCTTAGCGTTTTGTTAGGGGGCTGAAGACACATTCAGCTCAAGTAATGTCTGCAAGGAAGCTCTGGAAGGAACTTTGCACCACAAACCTGGGATGCCAAGCAAAACTCAAAACTGTTCAAGTTGCAAATGAATGCCTTTACATTTCCTATAGTGATAGAAATGTAGCCGTGTTAGTCTGGTGTAGCTGAAGCAAAATACAGGACTATGTAGCACTTTAAAGACTAACAAGATGGTTTATTAGATGATGAGCTTTCGTGGGCCAGACCCACTTCCTCAGATCAAATATTTTTTAATTTTTTTTTTAAATTGTATCCTTTGGTATATATGGTTGTGACTATTTTCTTCCATTATTTGATCTGAGGAAGTGGGTCTGGCCCACGAAAGCTCATCATCTAATAAACCATCTTGTTAGTCTTTAAAGTGCTACATAGTCCTGTATTTTGCTTCACATTTCCTGATATTATTGCCACTTACAGGTCTTGTCCTGACTCTGCTTGGGGTTTCCTTCTGAGTCACTGCTTTCAGTATCCACAGGAGAACTGCATCTGGGACCCGATTCTGAGCTAGAAAAGAAAAGGCCTGAGAATGAACCACAGCTGCTCTGGTCCTGATATATGCTACTTAGAAATAATTCCAAAAGAGATGTTATTACAAGCAACCCTAATGACTATGGGTACGTCTACACAGCAGCGTTATTACGCACTGCGCGTTTACACAGCAAGCCCATTATTTCAAAATAAATTTGAAATAATAGACTTCTTACTCCAGCTTCTGTAAACCTAATTGGAGGAGGAGTACGGGAAGTCAGGGGAAGAATGCTCTGTTTCGAAATAACTGCTGCATAGACGTGCCCAAATTCGAAATAAGTTATTTTGACTTAAGCTACGCAATTAACATAGCTCAAATTGCGCCACTTATTTCGAGTTCAGCCCTGCTGTGTAGACGTGCCCTCACGGTACATTGTGAGTCTTCCAACAGCATCGGGTGATGAAAATAACTGACATTTCTTACAGCTACTGTTGTATTAGAACACCCTCCCAGAGGGGGTCTCAAGGCAGGAGGTTGGGGTGTGTGTATGATCAGTACCTGTAAGAAATGTAAGTGTGGGGTGGCCTGCGGGTGGGAGGGGGGTGCTCAAGGCAGGGGGTGAGGAGGGACTCATTGCAGAGGATTGGGGTGTGAGCGAGGGGGGCAGGAGTCAGGTGCAGGTGTGTGGGGGGCTCACAGGCAGGGAGTGGGTGTTGGGGGCGTGGAGAGGGAAGGGTGATCGTGACAGGAAGGGGAAGAGCAAGCAGCCTAAATGGTGCTGGGAGGGCTTGGGGCTAGGGGAGTCCCAGACCAGTGGGGGAATGTGCCCCCAGCCAGCCCCTTTGACCTGGCTGGCTGCTTTGTGGGGCAGCCTGCATGACAGCCCCGGGAGCCGGGCTGGGAGCACGCTGCTTCCTCCTGAAAGGCTCAATTCTTGCCAGAGTGGTGCACGGGGGCACACCGGCTTACTTTCATCTCTGGACAATATACACAGCATCTTTACAGCACGAGGTATGAATGCCGCTGATTTCAATCACTGCAAACCCAGAGGTGTGAGTACTGACCCCGAATCCACACAGACAATAAAGACAGATTACAACACAGACCCCTAGCTAGTTATTCCATAGCACCCCACTCTACACAAACTTTGTGGAGACGCTATCGGTGTCTGTGCTTTATTTACCAACAAAAAGGTTGAAAGTCTGTGAACTTTGCCCATCCTTTCTCCTCAGGAGTGGCCGTCTCTGGCGCTGCTGAATCCCACACACTTGATCCAACATCCATGGCCACACAGGGGGCTGGGGGCTTTGAATTCACTGGCTCAAACACAGCTGTCCACCCAGACCCTGAAGACACAAAGATAAACAGGAATTGCTAGGGGGTTTGTGTAACCTCGGGCCTACACATAAAAGGGGGAGGAGGAGGAATTACCAGAGGTAAAAGCAAAGATTATGCAATGGGAATCCGTATGGGAGTCTGTAGGAGGACTAAAGAGGAGTCTTACGGGGTAAGAAATCAGGCTGCTGACTGATGATCTGAAAATTGGTTTCTCTGACAAACATGGTAACCCCACAACAGGGGAGCACTAATTCAGAAACATGGCTTTATAACATTCTCCCACCGCCACGCACTCGCTGCAGACAAGATCCGTGCAAGTTTCTATCGAAGTATCATCACCGCAGTATCTGAGTGTGCCAATCATTAATGGATTTCATCCTCGCAATGTGTCCCGCCCAGGAGCTATTATCCCCGACTTTCCAGGAAGGGACTGATGTACTGAGGAGATTATCCAAGGTGACCCAGGTGGCCAAGTAGCAGAGGCAGGGATTAAGTCTCAAACTCCTGAATCCCAGTCCACTGCCTTATCAGATAGACCATCTTTGTAGGTTCTCAGTTTTAGACGCATGGTCCCACCAGCGATTTGCTTCCTGACTGGCAATGTAGTGCTTCTCTTAATACAAGTTCTACTGTGCCAAATCAATCAGCTGTTGAAGAGCATACATAGAATAGGCGATGAGCCACCAAACCTATATTCACGCATGAATTGTACCCATGTTGGAACCTAGTTTCTAGACAAAAGAAATTGAACCAACTGCGCTGCCCACAGAAAGGGCCTGTTGTATAAACATTCTTTATTAAAATTGGCCTGCTTGTAGATGTCCCGAAAGTATCATTGTCACACGATCAGTAGGCAATGGCAGTGGAAGGGTTTTGTTTTGTACAGGAGCAGACTCACATGATGCTATCTGTTCTTCTGTAGCAACAACCAGTTTGGAAAAAACAACACGTCTGTGCGCAAATATTGTTCTCTAGTCCGAAGTAACACCAAAGATTAATAGAACAAAGAAGTCTGCAAAAACACATCTCTCCCTTTATTGCAGTTGATTTATTTTGAACAACTGACAGTGCAGTGTGTATGGTCAATTTAACTCTTGTTTATGGTCAGATGCACCTCCTGTCTCAAGTGCTCCACGACATCACTCCCTTGTGTTGCTCTGGGCAAAGCTCGTGTGTGTACAGTCCTTCCCCAGGCCCTGCAAGAATGGGTTACAGCACTGACACTGAAATAGCAACAGGGTGTTCTGCACATAGAGAAAAAGAGGACAGGGAAGGAGGGCTGGCTGGAATATATTCGGCTGTGCTCTCTATAAACCCTTAAAAACATCCCGGGGCAGCGCCTTAGTCCTCTCATTTACTATCTTCTTTGTCGATTTTTTTAATAACAATTGATACAGTTATAGTAGTTACATCTTGCATGGTTCCAGAAGCATCGAAACTGCACACTTCAATTGTGCGGAGCTCTAGCTCCCTGAACCTGCAGGATCGAATCCCACCAATACTTAAGGCAAGAGTTTGTAGATGCGAATTCACACTGGGCATTTTACGTCCCAGCTCAGCAGCCTCAGTTGCCGCAGGGCTTGCAGGTGGCTATACATGTTCCTATGTAGCAGATCTCCAGGAAAGACTGGCTGAGATAGGTCTCTGGGGACTGAAGATGGTATATTGAACTTTTTACCTTCAGTAGCATCAGAGTCTTTCTGCTCAGAAGGATTATTCTTGTTGGTGTTCTCTGTGGGAGGTGTTGTATGTTCGTCTGTTTCCTCTTCCTCTGAGTCCACGCTGCCATCATGATCCCCATTCTCTAGGTCACTTTTTGAGGAACTCTCTGAGGTCTGAGACACTCCAAATCTGAATTGTAGAAATCAGGGTTAGAGAGACCTATTAAGCCATCTAGTCCAAGGATGGGGAATAATTTTTGATGGAGACCACTAAGATGTCAAGGGCCGTACTTTTCTATGGAGTTGACGCGGGGCATGGGATGGAGGCTGGGTGCAGATGGGAACTGAGGGTAGGGGATGGGGTGCAGGACAGGGTGTGAGTTCTGAGAGGAGTTTGGATGAAGGAGGGTGTTGTGAGCTGGGGAAGGGGTTTAGGGTGCAGGGTCCGGGTGCAGGAGAAGATTCTGGCCTGGGAGAGGGATGTAGGAGCAGGTACAAGGTGTGGGAAGCAGCCCCAGACCACTTAGCTGGCTGTTCCATGTGGCTCTCTGCACCGTGGGGGTGAGGCGCCATGCACTGTCCCCTATCCCCAGCAAAGTCTCTCCACTCCTACTGGCCAGAAACCGGCCAATGAGACCTGAGTAATGGCGCTGCACTGCCTCTGCCCCCTGCACTACCTCTTATCTCCCATTGGCCGGTTTCCAGTCAATAAGAGCTGAGAGATTTTTCTGGAGCTGGGGGCAGCGTGCAAGCCTCTTCCCTTGCCCCTGCTCCTGCAGTGCAGCCATTTTGAGCGGGCCAAATTAAAAGGCTTGGCTCTGAGCTAGTCTCAGCAGGAGGAGGAAGACAAGGGCACAGTGCAGGATTATTCCTTCGAGTAGGTCTTTTAGCATTTTGCTCAGAGTACTTGCTACCCTGAATGACAGGGCTCCTAGGGGAGATACTCCTCAGCTTAATAAATGTCCTTCAGGAATTTTGACCTTACATTTAGCCTAAATTTTCTGTTTTGTAGTTTCTTCCCATCATTGTCCATTTACATTCCCAGAAAAGCCCTACAGATTCCTGTCTGGGTTTATTACACTTTCAGAAGTTCTCCCTGCACCATCACTAAGTAAAGCAAAACAAATAATTCTGAATCACTGTCAATTACTATTCACAACGGTATCACAGGTATGCACAGCACTATACCGGCATACCAAAAGACCGTCTTTCCTCACGGAGATGCAATCCACAGGAAACAACAAAAGAGATGACAGAACAAAATACAGAAGTGGGTGGGAAGGAAAGATGACAACAGGAGAAGAATACAGAACTCAAGGGAGGGAGATCACAGCATACACTGGACAAAGTTTGAGTCTTTTTTTTTTTTAATTACAACTGAAGTCGCTAAATTACTCTGTTATAGTTCCCCCTGCTTGCAGAATGGGGGTAGAGAATAGGATGGCTAAATTAGCTATTGTGTGCATTGCACCCTGAGGATATAAAACACCATGAATGCAAGCAACCTTCCACATTCCAATTTACACATACAAGCATTTTCAAAATAACTGAGTATAAATTTTTTCAATTTTCATGAGATCACTAACAGTCTAACTTACATATCTAATCAAATGTGTATTATGACTTTACTGCAGCACAACTTTTCCTCCTTACTAGCAGCAGCTTCTGATCTTTCATTTCACACTTGGACACAGAAAGGAGACAGAAGACCCTAATTCAATTAATATACGTCTATCTCGGGTGGCACAAGTCTACTTTCTTCACGTAGATTTTTGGGAAAAGTTGAGTTGGACAAGAGGGCATGTACTTGTTATTTATCAACTAACTTACACAGGACAGGAAACAAATCCTCCTTTCCACACATCAAATGGAAACTGAATAAAACAACTCACTGATTTAACTCCATTACGTTTTCCATACTGGAAAAACTTAAAAAACAATGAATAGTCTAGCAGCATCTTAAAGACTCACAAACAAAAAAAAGTGCTGCTAGACTATTTGTTGTTTTTTAAGTTTTTCCAGTAACAGACTAACTTGGCTACCCCTCTGAAAATTTTCCACATTGCAATGGTTGAAAATGTCGGCTGAGTGATCACTCCAGACTGACAAGAAACAAGCATCAGAGTGGGCCGGCAAAGGAAAAACAAAACTGCCATTCCAAAGGTTTTTACTAAAAACACAGATTACATTTGGAAGTTGTCCCCTTTACCTCCCAGACAGTCAAAAGCTATCAAGCTAGCTGGGGCAGAGTGTGCACCATAGATTTTAATTGAAGGGCTGATTCTCACTGGCACAGAGAAGGGTCACAGACATCGTTAAGATTTATTAATTCCTGGCCAATAAAGCTGCTAGAACTGACCATCCTGGAGACTCTACAGTGTTTATTTCCAGAATACTGCACACAGGCAGCAACAGGGCAAGCTTCCTCATATAGTCTGCCTACAGTACCTAACCTCCAACTAGCAGAGTGTTTTCTAGGGCAGAGAAGTGAGCTTAAGTCTCCATGGCCCATTCAAGTCTTCCAGGCTGAAAATGGCAGGCAAGTTAGTGGCACCTGGCATGATGGCGTTTGCGATGCAGACAACTCTCCATTAGTAACTGGACTGAGAAAATGAATATAATTCACACAACTCAATGTCAGCTTCTTGGTTGTTCTGTTGCCTAATCTGTCCAATTATAGAAGCACTTACAATTAAATCATTACTAAATCAAAGGGATGAATCAGAAATTCATTATCGTGCCAATTATACAACGTGTAGGGGCCCTACACTGCACCAACAATAACATTTTTTTATTTTCACAATTTCAAAAAAGGAACCCTGTATCGCCTACCTTATTAAACACACTAACAGTTGTTCTCTCTCCCTCTCCCTCTGTAACAAGCTATAGCTTTATATTAAGTTTCTGAGAGGTAAGAAAAAGGATGGCTTCTAAAAAATGTTTAAATAAAGTTAGTATCTCTCCTCCACAATTGGCTGGTACCCTAGTGTTTCCATCATTATTACATGCCCTAAAGCCTGCCTCACATGCACGACAGGTGTCGTGCTCTGAAATCAAGCCAAGCAATCAGCTCTTTGCAGGAGCAGCTCATATAAAGTCACTCCATTTAATAAAAGCAACAGGCTCCAAAGCACATAGGGCTGAAATCTACAACCTGACATTATTCAGAGAAAGACGACAGACCGTTTGCTTTCGCCTTACCGTGTTCTTGATTTGACTTGGGTTGCATAGGTTATTTCTTTCTCCTCCCAGATATCTTCCTCCTCCTCCTTGTCATCAAACTGCTGGATCCGTTCATTGCAGCAGGCCTCAAAAAGGGATGCATTTGACTAAAACAAATGTAAACAGACGTCAGGTCCTATAGATTTCTGGGAGGAAGCAACAAGAATGCTGGTGCAGCGCGCAGCTCGCAAACCACACTGCCTGGAGGCAGGAAGCCCAGAAAAAACTAAGAAATAAGGCTGTGACAGGCTGCTTGCTTCTGACACAACAGGAATCCCTGGCTGCTGTTTCATAGACATCTGGTGACATGAATTTCCCCAGTTTCTCTGCTACCGGGGGAATTATCTGAGATATTTCAGACGAAGTAAATCACTCACTCCCAAACTTCCCAGCTTGGAATTCTGAGAATAAGGAGATGTCGTCATGGATACTGTACACACCACACAGACAAAGAATTTCCTACAGCATGATCTCAGTACTCAGGCTAAATTTTAACTGAGTAATGACGTACTTCCTGCTTAAAGAACCCTGCATTTCAGTGGCTGGGGAAGCCACAAATTTCTGCACCGATACAATTTGGGATCAGTTTGCCAAATCGATTGAGTGCTTTGGGATCTTTGGAAAAAAGGGTCTAAGTATGTTTCGGTTATGAGATAAGATACTGTCATAACCAAGAGCTGCAGTGAAGTTTCACTACCAAACAACCTCTCTCTCTAGTTAGGAAAAAACAGTTAAGCACTTTATTCACCAACTTCCACTCCTACTGAATAGATGGAAAGGGTGGCAGGGAGAGACAACGGCAACAGAAGTTTCCTTTGTGAAGACAAAGACACACCATGTAGCTCAAAGGGCAACTCCTGTGATAGAGCCTTAGGGCTGGTCTACACTCCCTTGGTAAGTCAACCCAAGTTACACTACTACTATATTATTCATGTAGCTTAGGTCAACTTGCTGTGTTGTCTACCTTGTGCTGTGGATGGGAGACACTCTCCCACCAACTTCCCTTATTCTTTTTCAGGAGGTAATATACACAAATCTACAGAAGAGCACTCTCCCATCAATTTAGCATGTCTTCACCAGACCTGCTAAATCGACACCCGCTGCACTGATTGCAGCAGTACTTATCTACACGTATAGACGCGGCCTCAGAGCTAGATGATGCAACAGACAATTGAAAGAGCAGGAAAATTATATCAAGGTGATTTCAATGCCTTGATTCCCTTGTCTGGAGATAGGCATCAGAGACTTTTTACTACATAAATAATGTAACATCCCTTTTCTCAAAGATGCACATGGCTACATCTGATTCAAGCATGGTCTGACCCACTGGAGTCTGCCTTGTTGATAGTAAGTATCCAAAAACCTCACTTACACTGTCATCATCCGCATCTATGCTGAAGTTTATCTCTGCAATCCTGTCAAAAGGCGCACTGCAAAAAGAGAGAAATCTGCATGAGAGCTTGGAGCAACATGGGCAAAGGAGCTAAACACAAAGACACTTTGCAAGCCAACCTCTCTGCTGTTCTCTGCACACTCTCCGCTGTCACTGCACCAAGGCAATGATTTTTTCACTCTAGTTCTGGATGGAAAAATCAATGTAACCTTGTATTTCTGCTTCTCAGCAGATATCGTTTGTAGGATTCCCAACCCTACATCTTGTTCAACGCCTTAGCATGAGACCAGTGGAACTGTCCTAGCTCAGAAGGTATTCCTGACCTTACAGAGCAGCTGTAGTGGGCTAGAGAATAAGCCAAATCCCAGCTGTCACATGCCAACTCCCACAGAATATACATGCTGCTTGCAAGTGTTTCAGTCGGGTCCTTCAACTGAGTTTGAGGCAAAGCTTCCAAGGATAAAGCCAAGTCCAGCTGATCACAACCTCCTAACAATTTCTCATATAAGCATGTTCCATCTTCCTGAGCCCTTATATGGCAGCTCAGAGACCTGCTGGATAATTATTCAAATCAGAACACTCATCAAATAGTTCACACTGGCATTAGGTTGACAGACAGACCATTATTAGTCTAGAAAGAGTTCCATGGGTCAGGAGTGCAAGTCATTGGAATAACTTGAGGGGGTGAGGAGAAGGATTTTATAGGGTATCTACACATGCCTAAGTCTGGGCAGTGTCGTTTATGTCTCAGATGTTGATTTTTTTCTAAAAAGAAAGCTGTTAAGTTAGTGCATCTGTTGTAAACGATTAAAATACTCAAATGACTATGCCACTGAAACAAAGGGTCCCTCTTTCACACGCCTCACCAACCAATAGCCTACACTGGAACAGGTTTTGTTTTATCCTCTCTCCCCTCCTATTCATCCTTATGGGACTGGATAGTGTGTTCCAGCTACAATTCTCTTTCAGCTCCAGGTCCATTTTATGTTGCTTTTTCCCAAAATAACTGAGGTAAGTTCTATTCCATTACAAAATGGGGAAACAATCAGATTGCCCCACAATTGCATGCTGGATTGGACGTTGTTGGCCCCATTAAACAGCCCTTATCCCCACAATGCTCAAGAAAAGGGCTAGAGAATGTTGAAGAGCCTCCCCCTTCCCACTGAAAAGTAGCTTCCATTCACTTGAACACCACTCTGATGGAGGTCCTAGAACATGAAGGATGTCGAGTCCTTTGGGCAGCTTTTGGAAGATACTGGTTGGTATATGATACCAAACTGGGTGGGGTTGCAACTTCTTTGGAGGATAGGGACATAATTCAAAATGACCTTAGCAAGTTAGAGAAATGGTCAGAGGTAAACAGGATGAGGTTTAATAAAGAGAAATGCAAAGTGCTCCACTTAGGAAGGAACAATCAGTTCCATACATACAAGATGGGAAGCGGCTGTCTAGGAAGGAGCATGGCGGAAAGGGATCTAGGGGTCATAGTGGACCACAAGTTGAATATGAGTCAACAGTGTGATGCTGTTGCAAAAAAAGCAAATATGATTCTAGGTTGTATCAACAGGTGTGTTGTAAGCAAAACTCGTGAAGTCATTCTGCCGCTCTACTCTGCACTAGTTAGGCCTCAGCTGGAGTACTGTGTCCAGTTCTGGGCGCCACATTTCAAGGAAGATGTGGAGAAATTGGAAAGGGTACAGAGAAGAGCGACAAGAATGATTAAAGGTCTAGAGAACATGACCTATGAAGCCAGGCTTCGTGAACTGGGCTTGTTTAGTTTGGAAAAAAGAAGATTAAGGGGGGACATGATAGCGGTTTTCAAATATCTAAAAGGGTGTCACAAGGAGGAAGGAGAAAATTTGTTCCTCTTGGTTTCTGAGGACAGGACAAGGAGTAATGGGCTTAAAGTGCAGCAGGGGAGGTTTAGATTGGACATTAGGAAAAAATTCCTAACTGTCAGGGTGGTCAAATATTGGAATAAATTGCCAAGGGAGGTGGTGGAATCTCCCTCTCTGGAGATATTTAAGAACAGGTTAGACAGACATCTGTCAGGGATGGTGTAGACGGAGCTTGGTCCTGCCTTGAGGGCGGGGGGCTGGACTCGATGACCTCTCGAGGTCCCTTCCAGTCCTATTATTCTATGATTCTATGAATATCTCAAATCCAACAGCAGCTACAAAAGACTCAGAGCGATTATGTGACCACAGAGCTTTCCAGTCTAAAAACTGCCCCTTCACACAGATGGCTAGGTGACAAAGTCCACCAGGCTCTACCATTTCGCTATTTGAAATTCAGTCACACTCTAACACTATGTGTCAGATTTTTCATTTATATTTAATGCCAGAACACTAGAAGGATAACAACAATCTTGGGAGCGGGGAAGTGTTTTAATGAGATTAACATCTCTTACAGAACAACTGCACAGTCAATATCACTTAGGGACTGTCTACAGTGCACTGTATGCCCAAGGTTCAAATTCTGGCCCAGCCTTTCCCCCCACCCTTCTAGCTATACACAAATCACACAAACCAAAGGCTCAGACCCAGTGGTCACAGGAGTGGAGGGTCCAAGCCTGACTCAGAGTGTGAACCCTGGGTTCTGACGTACCCATTTGCCATGTTAACGCAGTCCCACTGCAGTCCATCGTGCTGTGGGGCTTTGTCCACACTGAAATAACACACTTGCATCTGGCCTGTGTCAGATGCCTTGGCCTTGCAGGGCTACCAAATTGCCATTGACATTCAGGCTTGGGTGCTGAGATCCTCCTGCCCATACCCTGCCACTTCAGAGCTCCAGCAGGCACGTCTATGCTGCTAATCTGAGCCTCAGACCACAAGCACTAGCCTGGGCTCTAAGACTCACTGCGAAAGGGCTGATTTGGGGTTTTTTGCAGTGTCGATGTACCCTACAGGTCTGTAATGTGAAATCCATCCATCTCGCCCTTCTGAATGGTTTTTGGAACTGCCTTATCACTGGCATGCTTCCTTCTACAGGAAGATGATGAGTGACTGGATTTCCCTGAGGACTTTATCTGCCAATCTTCCTTTTCCAGTTTTGGCGTGTCTATAGCTGAACTCACTTGATATTGTCATCCTGGTCTGCAAACTCTTCGTCGTTGAAGCCAAACTGATCCACAAAGTTGGCCGTCATCTGTTGGATCTGGTACTCTGCGAATGCCTGAGGTATGCAAACAGAAACCGGCTATAAGCAATTCAAGGAGTTTAAAATAAACACTACAAGAAGATGCTGATAATCAAGCCCTCCCATTGTTTGATGTCTGACACAATGGGGCTCCATTCTTGGTTGGCCCGCAGGCACTACTATAATAACCTTCACTAAATAATAAGACTTCAATTTTCTAGGCTGGGCATCCGCACCACTACAGTTTGTCAGGACTCAGTTACAATAGCCAGCAAAACATCTGTTTTCCTGACCCTGGCTATACTGAAGTCCTCCTTTTAGCTGCTGAAACTGCCACAGCATCAGTGCAGGCAGGAAATTCCAATTTCGTCTGCAGGGAGATGTTAGTTAGTTTCCCTTGTTTTTATTTGGGGTGGGGGGAGTTTTAAGCTAGGAACGGTGAACTCAGTGTAGGGGTAAAGTGACCTGAAACTCATTTTTTTAATCTCATTAGATTTCAGGTTCAGAATGTCCTTTCAATCCCCACATCTGGCTTTATACTACTGGAAAAATCTGAACCTACTACAATGTCTTTGCTGGACCTAATCTGTCCTGCCCTTTCCTAAACTCTGCCTCTAGTTGCTCTGTAAGCCACGGAGATGAACTCAGTGTAGGGGTAAAGTGACCTGAAACTCATTTTTTTAATCTCATTAGATTTCAGGTTCAGAATGTCCTTTCAATCCCCACATCTGGCTTTATACTACTGGAAAAATCTGAACCTACTACAATGTCTTTGCTGGACCTAATCTGTCCTGCCCTTTCCTAAACTCTGCCTCTAGTTGCTCTGTAAGCCACGGAGATACCGGCCCACTCACTCAGCTCTCACCTAACCACCACTATGCACATACACCCTGATGGAAGGGTGACGAGGCCAAATTTCAATAAGTGGTGTTGTGATTTGGTGCGCGGGGTTCACCGCACCACTCAGGTTTGTCTTGCTCACCCTTCCATCCTGGTGAGCCGGGTCCTGAGCTGTGACAGGATGAGCAACTCGCCCTGGCAGATCCACAGGACTGGTGAGTGTATGTCTGCCGAGGGATGATTTTATTCTGCCCTACTGATGACCCAACCTGGCTCTAACAGTGACATTTGGGAGTTAATTTCCAACACTTGACTCCAGGCACAAGAAAGCCAAAGTACATCCCTTCATTTGGCGCTCTCCTTTTATCAGCGAATACCTGTGTAATTGCTTTCCCTTTGTAAGTAATGCCATTTTAAGCCTCAAATCTCAATGTGCTTCACAGGAGTAGTAAGTCACTATACCCCACATCAGAGCTGAGAAAATTAAGGCACAAAGAGAGAAGCCTGCAGAGCTGCAGGAGAGCTGGAAACAGACCAGGTCTCCCAGTCCAGTATGCAACTCAGTGGGTCACGTTGCCTCTTTCTAAGCACGTGTGTGGCTTCTTCCTGGGCACCTCGGCAGGACAGCAGTCTTCACTAATGGTCAGCTCTACCCTCCGCTGCAGCGAGTGATATTTTCCACCTGGCACAAAAACATTCCACTACACTGGGCAAATCATCCCTCCCATCTTGTAAAAACAGCTCCCCTGTCAACGGATTGGACACATGCACACACAAGAAGCTTTCGGCCCTGGTAAGAAGTCCGGAAGTGGCACCGTCCTTAGAAAGAGTGAAGATGAAGCCAGATGCAGTGCGCTGCTCAACAGCAGTGCAAAGCACAGAGTCTGTCACCTGCTGGAGGGAGAGTTCGTTGGGGAAAGAGCTCTCAATGTCCTCGTCCTCACTGGAAGAATGCAGATGGTGGGTGCTCACCTGAGACAGAGATCAACGTGAATGTCCAGGAGACATCAGAGGCCAAACCATAAACTTGCCCTATTAAAAATCTATCCCAGCCAGAGACCCCAGCAGTCGGGTCGGAATTATCTTCCTTCTGAAGGAAACATCATGAGACACAATACATACAGAGTGGCTGCCAAGCGACAGCAGTGCTGCTACTAGGGGAGAGAGACATCTCTCTCACTAATCCCTACAGACAAGGAGAAGTTAAATGTACCTCCCTGCGCCCATCCTGCACACCCGCTTTGTAGAATCAAGGAAAATATCAGAGAAACGGTCATATCAAATTGACAATTCTCAAATAATACACATGCCGGAAAGCAGCAAACCCATCTGAAATATGCAGAAGGGTTCCGTACTATTGTCCTTACCAAATCCACGGTATTCTTCCGGTTTGTCTCTCTCAACGTCTCTTCTACAAAGCTCTCCCACCTCCCTCTGCAGTCCTCAGGTAGCTCTGTAACAAATGGGTCACCATCACAATTAACACAGCTCAATGAACAAAGGAGACGATGGAAAATGTCAGTCCCATGCTCTCCCATCTCTTGCACCATGTTCAGATCCCCGGACAAGTAACGACCAGCGGTCTGAAGCATATGCATCTCAGTAACTCGGGAAATATTTTTATAACACGTTTTCATTCCCTCAACACCTGTGCAACAAAAACACCGTGATATTTAAGAATAAAAACTCTCCTATGACCCCAAACACTGAAAGTCAATGGAGCATTCAACAAAGCAAACAGCAGACAAAACAAACATTTGGGGCCAAGACTAGAAATGTGCACAGCTAAGGAAAAGGAGAACATTTGTGGTGTCCTTTAAAAACAGTGTGCACTGGCTGAGATGGATCTCAGAGCATGGAGAGATTCCAGTTGTAAGGTCCACCAAAGCAAAGTCCCCTCACACCACTTCCCATTCCTTGGATACTAAGTATTGTAACTACTAGGGCAGTCAAGTGATTAAAAATTTTAATCATGACTAATAGCATGCAACTCCCCTTTGAAATGTGGTGGCATTTTAACAGGGCAGCGCCGCATGGAGCTTGTGATCAGCTGCCCCTCTGAAGTGCCAGAGCAGCACTTCAAAAAGGCAGCGCAGCATTAACGCCTGCGATTAACGTGTTAATTTTTTTAACGCGTTAATCCTGTCCTGCGTTAAATCACAGGTGTTAATGCAGGTCAATTGACAGCCCTAATGACTACTAGTTCTGCTGCATAGTATCATGTACCACTTCAGTTCTGCACCTCGCTCGGTGTTAACATGCCATTCTCCCATGCAATGAGCTGGGTTAGAGAGCGGAAGAGAATAGAAACAAGGCACGTTTCTCAGAGTGCGCAGCCCCTAAATGGCCAACCCCAGATGAATAGACTAGCTGAGTCAATTATTGCACCTCTTGTTGCTGCCTTCTGGAGAGGATAAACATGTCAGATACAGTCTGCTCTCTTTTGAGAATTGCACAATTTATTCATGCACTGACACCTAATAAAGAGGGCTTGGAGGAGCGAGTGTGTGTGTGGGGCGGGGGGGGTTCAGAGAGGCTGATAAAGTGGCTCTCCTTCTGCAAAAAGAATCACGCTCCATACATGCTATTCTAAAGGACGAAAGCACTTGGGAGCACAGAGGAAATGGAAACTTTGAAACGAGAATTCATTTCCTTCTCAACTTCTCCTTCCACATGGGCCAGACAGAAAAGCAGAGGCAGAGCATGAGTGTCCTTCGGTGACCAGTACAGAACATCAAACACATTCTTTGGAAACACTTAGAAAGTCTTGCCCAATGCAACCATCTGCATCAATGTGTTTTCCATTAATGTACTTCATTTGGAAGCCTCTTCCTAGGAAAGGGTTAAGTTTCCCACAGCAATGGTTCTCACACTGTAGGCCAAAGTCCATTGACTCAAAAGAATAACAGCTGCCCCGTACATTTCTCAAACACAGAATCAAGCCTTAGTGATCATTTACTCATGGAAACCACATCTTCCCCATCTGTCTCTAATGCCGGCTATTCCCCAACACCCACACTTGATTTATAGTCATTCCTTGATATGTTGTGTCTAAACTAGACTGTCAGCTTACGGAGACAGGCCTTGCTGTCCTCTGTAAATCTAAGGTACTGCAAAAACGCACAAGGCACTCTGTAGAGCAAAACTGTGTAAGTTATATGGACACAACCACATAGACTTCAACGTGGTGTGGTGCATGCAAGAGTAGACAGTGGCCAAAAGCCTGTGTAAGAAGCAAATACAGGCATTCAGTCAGAAATCTCTCCCTCTCTCCCCTCCACCCCCCGGTAAATCTCTCCTGCATGTAAAACAAGGCAAAAGAAATGGTTTCAGAAAGAGCTAATCCATCAGAAAAACACAAGGTGGGACAGAGAACAGAGCATGTACCTTTAATGAACTCGCCGATCTGGGTCTGCATGGGGCCCTTCTCCACATTCTGTACCACAGCATTGGCTATTCGGGTCAGGTGACCCATATTCCCTCGCCTCATTCCACCTTCTGCCCTGAAAACAGCAACAGTCAGTACCAGTTTAACAAAACACTCATCAGCAAGTTCTTAAGAGTTACCTGCTGCTGCCACAAGTTAATGGGCGTAAACAGTAACTACCAGTGTGGCAGATGTAAAGATGCTGCATCGCCACATAACAGGCTGAAGAGGCTAGGCTGTCTCAACAGAGGAACTGGTGCATACTCACAGGCAGAGAGAGGGAAGGGAAGAGAAAGCTCCCATTGCTCTCAAATGCACTGGGTATACCAGTCATCTATAAAACAGGTATGATGCACTAGCACAGAACTAAATGATTTTTCAATCATAACTTCCCCAAAACAAAGACACAAGGAGAAAGATCTGAATCACTGCAGTATTGAAAAAGTGTTGCAATTTTAGTTGAAGGTACAAGAGAACAAAAGAGATCCTAATCTAGAACAAATTTCCCCCTAAGAGAGAAAGTTTTACAAAAGTAATCAAAATGAAATCAAATAATAACAAAGTCACATTCTCGCTGTGTTTTGGTCGCTCCGACGCTCTGCAAGGACTGTGTCAATCTCTAAATCAGTGAATGAAATGGCTGAGCCAACCCTCCTACCTACACGATGCAGACAAGGACTGGAGAGACTCAGGAATCAAAATATAGGTATTTCCACAGCTGTGAACAGAACTACTCAGCTGAGATAGCAGATCTGCTTTCACACAGGCAGGCATTAGCAATCAAAAGAATGGACAGAATTCACACAAGTAAGCCAATTTTTCATTTCAGCACTTCATTTGCATGAGAGAGAACCTCATCAAATATTAAGGTTTGATCTCAATATTATTTGTGCAGCAACTAACTGTGCTCAAAGTTGACACAGGCAGCACCGATAAATATTGCGGAGGCTGGTCAAAACCAAAGCACATGAAAAATACCATAGAAACATGATGTAAAGAAGTATCCAACCCACTCACAACTGAGCCCTAGACAAAACCGTGTAAAAAGAAAACCACTTCTTTTATCTCATCTCCTGGCAAAGATGTCGATGATAAAAGTATACAGTACTTTAGTGAAATGTAAAACTTTCCATTTTATACTTTGGATTATTTGGAATCTATCAAAGGTTAATTTTGAGACTGTTTGCTCTTCTAATGTCAACTCTCCATAAATGCTTTGGAATTTTCATAGACCGATTGATTTTAGGGCCACCTTGACCATCTAGATTGACCTGCATAACACCAGCTGCTTGACTTCCCTGTTTTGCTCATCATATTACCATACACTTCAACATTAGATAATAAGGTGATAGGTTTTATACAAAACCCCTTGTCGGGACATTCCTTTTAAGAACATGAAGTTGTGCCTAAAAATCTGAGCATTACTTGAGCTAAATCAAGAGCTCCTCAAGTGTGCTGAATCTCAAGGAGTGACCAACATCAAAGTCCAAACAGAGAGGGAAGGTGGGTGAGGTAATAGCTTTGGCAAAATGCAGGACTAACACGCTACATTTTCTATCACTATTCGTAATAGCTTTGGTGAGAGAAACACTAATGGGCCACTTCCCCTTGAAATATGTTCTAACTACTTAGGCTAAACAATCTGTTCCACCCTTAGCTGGGCCACCTTGAGTCAGTTTCATCACCCCCCATCATTTAAATCTACAAAACGGAATTCAAGTAATAACCAACAGACACAACTGTGGCTGTCAGGGCATTATTCATCATGCAGGGGGACTGGCAAGAGAAATGACCAAATTGCCACTACATGACACTGAAACTGTGAAGTGCTACAATAGCAGCAAATGCTTAGGCAAGGCAGGAAACAGAAGCCCAGATAATTTTCTTTCACGTCAGTCTCTTTTCTTTATTTTTAGTCTTATTTCTTACAATCATTACATCACCTAAATGGTTTTCGGAGTTAGAAAATTACATGAGGAATCTAAACTCAAACAGGTTTCCTGGACATTCTACTCCCAGAAGTGGGGGAACAGTACATTGGTTATTTAAAAACAAGAACAAGTTAATGTGCTCTGTGAAATGTGCGTTTGGGAAAAGCAAGAATGAAGTGCATGCTGCTTGTCTACTGGAGCACTGGGCGGCTGGAAGTAGCTCTAGCTGACTTGTACCTGCCCACGAGGCTCTATGTACGTGTTGGCCTAGAATGTATTTGGTTTTTAACATCTGAGCAACCTGCATTCTAAAGCAAACCTCTCCGTTATCCTAATAATTGAGAGAATATTCAACACGATAGTCAAAATTTGCAAGCCTCAAATTCAGTCCTCCATACCAGCAGTGCACAACCCGTGGGTCACAACCCCTTTGGGGGTCGTGGCTGTGTTCCTGGGGGGGGTCGCAGTGTTGTGATCCGGCTGGCCAGTATTTTCTGCTTTTCCCGGCTCGGCGCCTGACGGACACGCGGCGGGGGGGAATTGCAGCAATAAAAGGGGCCGCGACTGCATTTTGCCAGCCCAGCATGGGTTTTTTTGTTTTGTTTTCTCAACAAAATTTTCCCAGGGGTCACGAATGAAAAAAGGTTGTGCACCACTGCTCCATACAACCGAAACCACCCTTACTGTATTTTGTCATTGGCTTCCCAGGCATCCAATATCCTTTGCAACAGGCAGCACTTCTGGAACAGCTAGAGAGGGAGAGACAGTGAGAACATTTCAGACACTGACTAAAGGAAATCCCATGGCCTAGATGGCCTACACTAGAGCACAAATCACTTTTGTTCCTCTCTTGACACCATCTACCACTTAAAATTACTTTAAGGCCAATTTTTAATGGATTCATCTTGTTGGAACAAGCTGCATGAGCCCTCTGAAAAAGTCCACTAATCCACTCAAGTTTTCCTTAACTGGTTCCATCTTCCTCTAAGGGCACGCCTAGACTACATGGCTCCGTCGATGGAGCCATGTAGATTTGTTTACTGGGCACAGGGAAATGAAGCGGCGATTTAAATAATCGCCGCTTCATTTAAATTTAAAGGGCTGCCGCGCTGTGCCGATCAGCTGTTTGTCAGCTCAGCGCTGTAGTCTGGACGCTCTGCAGTCGACGTTAAAGCCCTTTGTCGACCGCCCCGGTAAACCTCATCCCACGAGGAATAATGGGGCAGTCGACAAAGGGCTTTGATGTCGACTGCGGAGCGTCCAGACTACAGCGCTGAGCTGACAAACAGCTGATCGGCACAGCGCGGCAGCCCTTTAAATTTAAATGAAGCGGCGATTTAAATAATCGCCGCTTCATTTCCCTGTGCCCAGTAAACAAATCTACATGGCTCCATCGACGGAGCCATGTAGTCTAGACACACCCTAAGTTACAAAACTCCCCAGAGGAAGGGATAAACAGGGATTCCTGTAAATTAAAATTTAAATTAATGGAGATTGCCTATCTGTGAGAACTAGAAGAGACCTTGAAAGGTCATCAAGTCCAGTCCCCTGCCTTCATAGCAAGACCAAGTACCATCTCTGACAAATTTTTGCCCCAAATCACCTCTGCAAAGATTGAACTCACAACCCTGGGTTTAGCAGGCTGATGCTCAAACCACTGAGCTATCCCTCCCCACCAAGGGTAAGATTCGTCACTTTGCCCTTACAGCATTCATAGCATTAATGAAGAGAACACCACAGATTATTCTCAGCATTAGAAGCATGGGCAACAAATCAGGAATCTGTAATTATGATTGGGGGGAGTGGGGCTTGATTCAAAGTTGTGATTTTTCCTTTTTTAGATGAAAGAACAAATCATCTGTACAAAAGGCCAAAGCAACGTCTAGACACCCCGATAACCAGGGCTCGAAAAATAATACAATCTACTCGCGCATGGCGAGTAGATTGTAACCCGGAAGGGCTGGGTTCGGGCGATCTGCGTAAGTGCAGATCGACAGACAGCACGGCTGGCGAGCGGGGCTCGCTGCAGTTCGGCAAGCCCTGCCGATAACTATTTCCCTCTCTTCTTGAGCAGTTTGTCAGATTACTCTCTCGTTAACCAAGATCCATGCTGAATCCATCCAGCTAAAGGTGACGTGACTAGACTTACATGTGTCACCATGACATTCTCCGGACCCTGATCCAAAGTCTTCAAGTTCTCTGTGGTCACATTCCCATTTAGCACCTCCTCTTTATTTTCCAGGTCATTCATCACTGATTTTCCTTCATGCACAGAGTGTGACAGAACAGCTGCTATGCACAGTTCCACTTGGAAGTGCAAAAAGTTATTCCATGTGTATTTAAAAAATAAGTCCTGAAACAAAATGAAGGGTATATAAAAATCCACTTAGGACACAAATCTGATCAGACCTTCACACACACACACACACACAAACACATACAGACAGACTTTCCTGAGGGCAAGACGGTGAAATGTCAGCCAGTGGATTCACTTACAGAGTAAGCTACATAAAATAGTCTGTGTTCTAATGGTGCAGTTTGGTTTCTCTGCAGGCTTCACGCCAAAACTGAGGCCACCTGAGATTACAAAAGAGTTATCTAATTCACCCAAACCAAAACTTTGTTAACATGAAGGTTTTTACTTGCTAAAGTGCTAATTCCAACAAAATGATTACTTAAAATCAAGGAAATCGCTGGTTAAGGCAACCTACACATGACCTAACATCACTATTCCTGGGGGAATTCTGTGCCACTGTACACATGCAGAATTCATGTTCAGTGCAAAAAATAATTCCCCGCAGAAAATACATGAACCCCAAGAAATAGCATGCTGTGCCAGAACTGACAGCTGATCGGCAGTAACAGCTAGCAGCAATTTGCATTCATCACAGCAGCCTGCTGGTGGAGCCAGAGGCAGAATGGGGGCATAAAGGACTGTTGGGGATGGTCACAGACTAGGATTCAGATGAGCTAATGGGAGCGGGAGGGGAAGACTAGGGTGTGGGGTCAGGATAGCACTGAACCAGTGGCTGAATAGAAGAGGGCTCCAGGGCCATATAGCGATGGGGGATGCAGGGACATCTGGGGACAGGATCAGATGTGCCTGACTGAATGGAAGAGGCTTGGGGTCAGCCAGGGTCTACATGCAGGAGGCTCCCCAACTTCCTAAAAGTGCTTCCTCACCCAAAAGAAACTGTTCCCTACTTCTCTCACTTACACCCAACAACCATCCAGGTTCACTGCCAGGCTCCTTTCCTCCCCTCAACTCCTCCAATACACGTGACTCCCCCAAGCCTTTGCCTGCCTTCTGAGGGGTACGGGACAAGGTTTGTATGGTAGTTTAAATGATCAAAGTTCTGTACTAACAAGCCTAGAAAGGTGTCTATTTGTCAAAAAAAAAAAAAAATCCTGAATCTTTTTTGTCTATATTGTTACAGACATACATGCTGACAGGTATTACAAAATAAATTACCACAATAATTCAAATCGGTGCGACTACATTGTGTTATTCTGACAGAACATACAGCATTTTGCAGAATTTTAAAATACCCCGTGCACAAATTTTTTGGCACAGAATTAATGCATACATCAAATTCCGTGTACCTGTCTTTGCATTGTACAGATCACAGATCATGTTCTTTGCTTAACCAGCATATCCTTCCACAATAGGTCACAGTGCATTACTCACAAGTAATAAGTCCAAGGTATTAAGTCTGCATAGTTCGTAGTTAATACTGGGAGTGTTCGTGTGAAGCAGAGCAGCTATTAGTCGAGCTCCATGAAGGCGAGCATTCCCCAGTGGCTCCTCCAAGACACCAATTGTCGTCAGGATTGACATTTTCTATCACAGAAAGAGGAACCCAATTTTGAATCTCTCTACGCATAGGTCAAATTGTCACTCTGATGGTACTCTAATCTGACTTCAGTCTGATTTTATATTCACTTCATCTTCATGTAAACCTCCTCTGCTAAGGAACCTGTTTGAGACCTAAGTCACATTTTCCTTCTCATTCAGTGAGGTCCAGGGACCACACAGTAAGAGCAATTAAAGAACTACTGAATCAAAACAAACAATACTCAGATAATATTTTCCATACCTAATTTCAGAAAGCTATAACCACCAATGAGTAAATACAAGTCTTTATTATAAAGGGCTCATGTCCGGACGGAAAACCCATGCCCTGGGAGACATTTGTTGATAAAGTAGCTATCCCATGGGATTAATAGCAGATTTACATACCAAACAGAACATTAACAAATTTTAATTTTCTAAATTCAGAAACACTTCCTTTCCACACGGACACCTTCAGAACTCTCATTACATTAAAACAATGTCCTTAATGGTAGAGATGTAACCGTGTTAGTCTGGTGCAGCTGAAACAAAAAACAGGACTGTGTAGCACTTTAAAGACTAACAAGATGGTTTAATAGGTGATGAGCTTTCGTGGGCCAGACCCACTTCCTGAGGAAGTGGGTCTGGCCCACGAAAGCTCATCACCTATTAAACCATCTTGTTAGTCTTTAAAGTGCTACACAGTCCTGTTCAATGTCCTTAATGTTATTCAAATACATCAGTGCAGACTCCAAATCCCACCGCCTGGTTCCTAGACGTGTGAAATCTAAATCTGAACTCTGAATTTCTCTTTGAGGATTTAAGTCAGAGCTTTATGTTAATTTATTATACGGTTGGATTATTTTAGTACATGATGCGTTCAGGTGAACAAAACTGAAAATATCCAGGAAGCAAATGATTCTATACACAGAGGAAAGAAAACCTCTGAAGCATATGTCAGCTACTCTGATTACAGGAAGGGCTTTACCTTGGGCGGGTTGAGTAGAAGCTGGTGAAAATCCTTTAGCCGAGGCTCAATACCATTTAAGATGCTGCTATTGACAGTGTAAGACCTTTCAAATCCCTGAGAGAATGAGTCCACCAGTCCCTCCACTCTATAGGGAGAAAGATAAAACATAATAGTCAAAACCACCAAGGGTAGTCATGCTCGCCTTCATCAGACTTCCAGGCCTAGTACCTGCCCCGGTGCCAGCTGCTTTCCAAGAGGAAATATTTACAGCTGGCTCAAGTTTAAAATACTATGTGAATCCAAATCCATAAAGCAGAATGCAAAGACAGAGTCAATTACTGTTTACTCACCATACTGAGGACAGCAAGGAACAATTAAAACGTGTCCCTGAATTGATCATTTCTCAAGTATTCGAGCATTAATGAGGTAGCTAGAAGTGTTAATGTTGCGCACAACTGTTAAATGCTGAAACAAAACTTCAACACGTGTTTGAAAGAATAATGCAAATTACTCCGGGCACCCATTTCCTGCATCACTGCATGCCCACGAAAAACGAGCGCTCCGCAGAATTCCTGTTTCCTGCAGAAAATGGCAGGGAAGCTGCCTGGCAGTGGGGGGAGATGGGGTTGACCATTGGTGCATGATGGGAGAATTCCTGTTCCTGTGCCACAGTGCGTGCTGGTGGTGGGTAAGGGGGTGGGGGAAGCAGTGGGCAAAGAAGGGGGTGGAATAGGGCAGGGGGAGGGGAACAGGGGAGCGAAGGGAGGGGAATGGAGAAGAAAAGGGACAGAGGAATCACATCGGGGAGCAGGAGCCTGGCACGTGGCATCCCCTCCGCAATAGCTGGGGCTCCTCCATTAAGCAGGCCTATCAAACCCTCCTCCTTCCACCTGGATTCCTCCCACAAGCCCCCCACACCCAACCCCCACCCCCTGCACTGGAAACCTCCCCCCGTTCCCCCGCCACAATTTCCTGTGCATCCAGCACTCCCACTGAGCTGCCCACAACCAGACTGCCCCACACCTGGCTCCCCTCACACAAAGCCGCTCCCATAAACATAAAAAATAAAAATAATTTTAAAAATAAATTGGAGCTAAAAAGTCACAGACCCCTCACCACAGTATCCGTGTTGTAGCACTGGAAACCTCCCCCCGTTCCCCCGCCACAATTTCCTGTGCATCCAGCACTCCCACTGAGCTGCCCACAACCAGACTGCCCCACACCTGGCTCCCCTCACACAAAGCCGCTCCCATAAACATAAAAAATAAAAATAATTTTAAAAATAAATTGGAGCTAAAAAGTCACAGACCCCTCACCACAGTATCCGTGTTGTATCTGTTTTTCCCACCTTCTGTTTTTATTTAGACTGTAGTTCTCTGGTATAAAGATGTGCTTTTCTAGGTGTTTGCCTAGTACCTAGCATAATGCAGTTACAACTCTGCGAAGCTACCTTGAAGCACAACTTTAAAACAATGTTTCTTGTGTTTATTTTTGGCAGCCCCCAAAAGTAAGTCAGGAGTTTGATTTTTGAAAAAACTAGGTTTTGAGCTGTAACATTTTCTTATTGAGGGACGTAACCTACCCAGAACGCCGCGTCTCCAATAACGTTAATAAAATCTGAGTTCCATTCACTATGCAGTTTTCAGTCTGGTCTCCATCAAACATGTTTTTCAAAAGCTGCTCCACGCATTCCTTCCTGTTAAATGACACAGAGGAGTTACAGAAAGGCATTAGGGTTCCAAATAATTTGCAGTACTGTTTTAATTTTAGAACTATCCACTCTACTACTTAAGTAAAGAAACTGCATCTCTTTGGAAGAAAGATGAGGGGGACTCATCTCAGTGGCATGTATGGCAAGGCTAGACCTAATGCAGGTCTAGGAGCCTGCTTACCTACCATTTGGGCATGTACCTGATTATGCCACTGACTAGCTGAACCAAAAAGTGGCTCTGTCTCACATAAAGAGAGGAATGCCTCCTGCATTATGCGCTGTTAGCTGGCCAATGCCATGCACTCCGTCTACTTAACTCAGCAAAGACAAGGTTAGATGGTAACTTGATCAGTCTATAAGTACGTATTCAGATCCCAGGAAGAAGTTCTCAAATACGACTGGACTCGAATCTATCTGCCAAAGGCATAATAAGATCAAATGATTGGAACCAGAAGTCACCAGGACTCAACTGTAAGTAAGATGCACCTTTCAACAGTGGTGGTAATGGTCCATTGGAATAAACTGCCACCACAAAATGTGGAAACATCTCCATCTTTTGGTGTCTTCAAATAAAGGCTGGAGGACTCCCTCAGCAATACCTCTAGCACCACAAGTCACGGCTGCATGCACAAAGCACTGGGGGAAATCTGATGGCCTGTTCTGTGTTATAGGTCAGATTAGATCAGCATAACAGTTGCCTCTGTCTTTAAAAGCTGTAAATACTCTGATGAGACTCTCCAGTAGGTTTAGGGACTGACCAGAACAAATGCAGGCAGATAGTATCTTTACTGTAATGCGTGGCAAACAAGTAATCCTTGAATGTCCATTTTGTTTCACTGCAGTCCAACGTGTACAATACACAAGAGACAATCAAGACACTGTTCACTCTTTCATTCTCTCAATGATCTGAATACAATATCTAATTCCACATCTATGTCTGAATCTTTTTTTCCAAAATGGGATCCACCAATGTTCTGAACATTCCTCAGCAGAACGCAAGTACCTTTCCTGCTTTGAAAATCACAGGTGGAGCCACAAAGAAGCCTTTCCAAGTCTATGCACTTCAGCTGTTAACCATGAACTCTTGCAGCTCCCACTGCATTTCAAAAAAAGAGAGAGGTTACATACTCTGAGTCTGAGGCGTGTGGTACTCCAAGTGCATTCCACTCGAGGTGGATTATCGCCATTTTCCTGAGATAGGAAGATTTTTCACTGACAGCGTCCCCTTTGGTCCATGCCTGTGCCCTTTTCCTCATGCCCCAAACTCAGGGTGTAAATGACCAATGAGGACCTATCGCTTCCCCAGTTCCTACCCTATCACAACTTTACAAGAAGGGGCTAGAGCAGAGAAGGAGGGCGTGTCAGAGCATACACATAAGGAGCATACATCTGGAAGAACTCCAGCTACTCTATAAGGTAATTAACCTCTTTCTTCTTCAAGCAATGGCCCCGTGTGAATTCCACTTGCGAAGACTCACAAGCAGTACTCATGGAGGAAGAAGAAGGGGATACGAGCGGCCCTGCAGTACCACAGAGTAAAGAACCATTCACCCAAAGGATGCATCTGCTGTAGAGTCTTTCCGCATAGTGTAACGTCTCACAAAGGCAACGCACAGAGCCTGGTGTGGCTGCTCCATAGATCTCCAGAAGAGGAACCTCAGAGACGGAAGCTACTGATGCAGCTAATACTCTGGTCAAGAGAGCTCTAACACTCGGGGGCGGGGGGTGTCACTGTTAAACCACAATGCAGCCTGAGATCCAGTTAGAGAGTTTCTAAGGAAACTGCTTCCCCTTTCAGTAAGTTCGGTGAACAGTACAAATACTATGGGTGTTTTCCTGAACGGTCTTGTCCTCTGCAGGCAGAACACCAATGCTCCACAGACATCCAGACAGCGGAGATTCCCGTCTTCTCTGGAGGCATGAGGTCTCTAAAGGCTACTGAGGCCTTAACAGGGAGTACAAGTGCCCATTTCGATTAACCTGGCGGCAGTGGAGACAGATGGTGCTAGCTAAAGGACGTACTCTCAGTCATGGAAAAAAAAAACACATTACTGGTCTCAAGCCTGTGATAAAACATTGAGGAGAGAGACACACAGGCCTGAGCAGCAAAATGGACTTTGGCTCCTGTGTCAAATGATCTTGGCATGAAGGCTGGTCTTGACATGCTTGATGGTCCTATCTGGCTGTAAACATTTCGAGAGGGGACCTGAGGCATCAACCATTCCCGCACAGAGAAGGCAGGCACAACAAACCATGCATTGGGTACTAGGCCAGTCTCACCCAGATACAGAAAGCACCAAATGTGGGACAAGCGTCAGGTATGACACACGTCTCTTGAAAGCCAGCCAGGCTCCGCATCCAACACAGTCTGGGAGAGAAGCTGAAAGCTCTCTGGATGAGCAAAGCTATGGACCCTGAGCAGTCCTGTGCTGCTCTAAACTAGCTACTGACAAGAAAACATTAAGCTAAGCTCAGTGAATATGTAGCCTGAAGTCAAGTTCAGTTTGCTCCCTGCAGTAGCAGCAAAGAAACTGAAGCAGTAAGGGGAGTGAATTCCCTTTGATGGAGTAGGGTGCAGACATCAACCTCATGCCAGATCTATTATGTGCCTCTTAAAATACATGGCTTACCAGGACAGTTCTGCAGCTAAACCACTGGAGTGCCATATCACTTGTGGCCATGCACAGAGGTGTCCTTTTTTTCCCCCTGTGTCAACTGAAAGCTTTTAGATTCTGCAGAATCACCTCCATCCGTCCACACACTGGGTAAGCTGCCTGCACTTGATCCAGGCAAGTGAGAGTAGAATTTTTGATCCCTAGTTACACTCCTATTTTTCATTTCACTACTTAAAGATGACTGCCATTGCGTGCTCTCTCTCCAACACACACACAACCTTTTGCCAAAAAAATTCCCTTTCACCTCAAATAATTTCATCCTTAGTCTCAAAACCAAAGTGAATATTTTCAGAACATTTGATGCAATTAACTAGGGAATCACACACAAAAAGCCTATTTTAAAAGAGCAGTATTAAAGCTGCAAAAATCAAGCATTCAAAAGTTAGGAAATACCTATGCAACCTCAATTTGGGTACTTTGGGCTTTTATTTCTCCACAGGACCCCTTCCTTGTTCAGTGCAAAGCATGGACTGCATTCTTGGAATGGCTGTGTAGTGAAGGAGGGAAGGAGGCTGTCATCTGTGGGACCCCTACCTCACTTGTCACAAAAAGGGGAACATGCATAGAGAACGGTACGAGTTGAGAGAGAATGGTGTCCTGGATAAAGCGACCGAGTGCGACCCTGGAGAACTGAATTCAATTCTAACTCCTACCACAGAGTTTCTATGTAACACTGAACAAGCCACAAACTAAAAGTTCACAGTTGGCCACTAACTGTGTTTGTCTCACTTCCTGGGTACCTCACAAGACACCTGGGGCCAGATCTCCAGAAGTGTTGAGTGCTCCCACCTGCAAGGGCCTGCATCTGTATTGGAACATAAAATACTAAATACGTTTGAAAATCAAACCCTAAATGCCTCAAATTTGGCACCCCAAATTAATGGACATTTTGACAGTTTTGGCTTGAATCTGTTGAGCCTCAAATCCCCAGCTGTAAAATGGGGATACCACCCTACAATCTCACAGGGGAGTTGTGGAAATAAATTAATTAATGCCTAATAAGTAATCAGACACAACGGTGAGAGCATTCCTACCATTACATTCTTCCCAGTTAGAGGTAGTGTCCTTTTTATTAGTGTAGGCACTTTTCATGGTAGAAACCAAGTTTTGCTGTGTCTTTGTACCCATGCAGAAGTATAGTAAGGCTTGACTGTGACGTTTGGGTGTTACCATAATTTAGCAAAAATAAATATAATGTGTAAGAACAATTGTGAGGAGTGTGGCAAAGGTCTGAGATTATTTACCACACAGTTCACGCCCTTGAACATTTATCAGGATGTGACATTACCAGCAGCAGTCATTTAGTTTAACAACACGCCTTTGGATTGTACTTACGACTCCAGTGCTGTGAGAAGCGGGTCAGGCTCAGATATCTCCTGCAATTGGCTGCCCTGGTCTCTGCTCAGTCTTATGATATCACACAAGGTTTGGGAAGCATTTGATTGCCTCTGCAAACAATGTCAAAGGTTACATTTAAGTACTAAATTGCACAGCTGGGTTCATCATGGCCTTCAGAGAAAACATGATTCAACACAAAAGTACATCAGTCAGCAATACATGGAACTAAGCAAAAAGAGTTCCTCAACTCAAAGGCAGCAGTACTCCAAGGTAACATGGAAGATCAGATCTATTCCTCCTTATTTAACAAACTTCCAATCCAAGCTTCTCTCTTCATAGCACTATTCACATCAGCAACACAATTAACAGGGAGACTTTAGAATCAAAGAAGAGGTTTTCTTGAACTTACATTAAAACAAATTGTAAAATTTCAAAGTGAGTTTGCTTTCTTTCCTTTTTCTAGAACACAAGAATGGCCAGACTGGGTCAGGCCAAACATCTAGAACTATGTGCAGGTACAACTGTCTGGATGGACATGGAAACCCACTGATCCATAGAGATCAATACCCAAGAGACACCATGGTCAACAGAGAAGAGCGTGGTGCCACCTCTTCCAGGAGACAGTGCCCTTAGCCAGCAGATCCCGAAATCTATCTGCAGACAGCCACATCTGCTGGTAAACAGTTACATGCACGCAGGGCTCTACAAATGTCCATCTAGACCAGGGGTCTCCAAACTACGGCCCGCGGGCCGGATGCGCCCGCGAGGCCCTCTCATCCGGCCCGTGGAGACCTTTTTGTCTGGCCCCACCTTCCGCGTGCCGGTGTGACGAGGCGACCCCCGCCCGTCCCTGGGGCGCCGCCGAACGGGCCCTTCTTGCCGCGGGGGGGGGCCCTGTCAGGGGTGTGCGGCGTGTACTCACGCCGCGCAGGGGCAGGAGAAGCGGGCCGCTCTGCTGACAAGCGGCCGCGCGGCGGCAAACGGCGCAGGGGGCGGGGGTTAGCACGGGCGGCGTTCCCCCGCCCAGACTGACAGGGCAGCCGGCCAATCAGGGGGCAGGATGGGCGGTGGTGGTAACGCCCGCCCGGCGACGTGCGGGGGAACGTGAACCCCGGCGGGAACTTTAAAAAGGTGACCCCTTCCGCCGGGGGGGGGAAGGAGTGAGCGGTGGCAAGCAGGAGGGGAGGACAGCGTGCAGAGGAAGGGGAGAGCAGGGGGAAAAGCCCCCCCCCCTTCTCAGGAGTCCAGACCCGACGGCCACCCAGACGGCAGGACCAGCCCCGGCGGGAGGGGTGGGCGTCTGGATATACGACCGTCAGCCTGACGGACGAATCAAAGGTGACCGCCCCACGGTGGGGGGAGGTAGAGGGTCACACGAGGAGGGAAAGGAAGCAGCCCAGGGCAGAACTCGTTAGAGTTGGCGGGCTGACGAGTTACGGCAGGAGCCCCGTCAGCCGGACCGGAGCCAGCTGGTTCCGTGTCCTTAGGGCCCTGGGCTGGGGCCCGTGAGTGAGGGTGGGCCCGGGCCCCCCTTTCCCTCCCCTTCAGCACTGGAGGGAGTGCATGGTCAGAGTACCGGCCGCGCTGCAACAGAGGGCGCAATAGGCAACTGAAATTCCCCGTCATGAAAGCGGCCCCCGAACTGCTGTTTGATAGTTAATGCGGCCCTCGGGCTGAAAAGTTTGGAGACCCCTTATCTAGACCAGTGTCCTGTCTGCTAACAGTGGCCTCAGATGCCCCAGAGGGAATGAAGAGAATAGGGAATCAGTAAGTGATTGTGTAAGCACATAAGAACAGTCATACTGGGTCAGACCAAAGGTCCACTTAGCTCACTGGCCTTTCTTCCAACAGTGGCCAATTGCAGATGCCCCAGTGGGAGTGAACACAACAGGGAATCGTCAAGTGATCCCTCTCCTGTCATCTATTTCCAAACAGAAGCTAGGGACACCATTCCTACCCATCCTGGCTAATAGTCATTGATGGACCTATCCTCCATGAATGTATCTAGTTCTTTTTTTGAGCCCTGTTAAAGTCATGGTCTTTACCACATCCTCCAGCAAGGAGTTCCATAGGCTGACTGTGCTGAGTGAAGAAAACCATGATTTTGTTTGTTTTAAACCTGCTATTAATTTCATTTGGTGACCCCTAGTTCTTATGTTTTGGGAACAATAACTTTTCTTTATTCACTTTTTCCACTCCAGTCATGATTTTATAGACCTCTGTCACATCCCGTCCCCCCTTGTGTATTCTTTTCTAAGCTAAAAAGTCCCAGTCTTTTTAATCGCTCTTCATATGGCACCCGTTCCAAACCAACAACCATTTTTGTTGCCCTTTTCTGAATCTCTTCGAATTCCAATATATCCTTTTTGAGACAGGGCGACCACATCTGCACGCAATATTCATGATGTGGGCATACCATGGACTTAGACAGAGGCAATAAGATATTCACGGTCTTAGTCTCAATTCTTTTTTCATTACTCCCAACATTCTGTTTGCTTTTTTGATGGCTGCTGCCCACTGAGTGAATGTTTTCAGAGAACTATCCACAATAACTCCAAGATCTCTTTTTTGAGTGGTAACAGCTAGCTTAGATCCCATCATTTTATATGTCTAGTTGGGAATATGTTTTCCAATGTACACTACTTTTATTTTATCAATCTTGAATTTTATCTGCCATTTTCTTACCAAGTCACCAAGTTCTGTGAGATCCCTTTTTAAGTCTTCACAGTCTGCTTTGGATTTAACTTCTAGCTTATCGGTTAACCAGTTTAACTCTTACATCCCTATTTGTATCCTCTGCAAATTTTGCCACCTCATTGTTTACTCCTTTTTCCAGATCTTTTATGAATATGCTGAACAGGACTGGGCCCAGTACAGACACATAGGAGACACCACTATTAACCTCCGTCCGTTCTGAAAATGGACCTTTTATTCCAACCCTTTGTTTCCTATCTTTTAACTAGCTACTGATCCATTTAGATCCTTCCCTCTTATCCCAGTCAGCTTGCTTTGCTAAAGAGCCTGTGGTGAGTAAACTCGTTAAAGGTGTTCTGAAAAATCGATGTACACTATATCCACTGGATCCCCCTTTTCTAAATGCCTGATGATTCCTCAATGAATTCTAATAGATTGGTAAAGTATGATTTCCCTTTACAAAAACGATGTTGACTCTTCCACAAAAAATGATTATAGGATTCAGAGATAGTCGTGTTAGTCTGTTTCAGCAAAAACAACAAGGAGTCCTGTGGCACCTTAATGACTAACAATGTTACTATGGCATACGTTTTTATGAGTTGCAACTCACTTCATTAGATGCAAGAGCTAGGCATCTGATGAAGTGAGCTGCACAACGAATTACGTTTATCTATGTGTCTAATAATACTTTCTTTACTATAGTTTCAATCAATTTACCCAATACTGAAGTCATTCTCACTAGCCTCTAATTATTGGAATCACCTCTGAAGCCCTTTTTTAAAAGTAGTGGTACATTAGCTAACCTCCAGTCATTTGGTACAGAAGATACATTCAATGACAGGTTACAACACACAGTCAGTAGTCAAGCAATGCTGGTCGAGACTTTGTTAGTGCAGACATTTCATCTTTGCTTATTTCTACTCAATAATATTTCTTACTTCCTTAAGAATATGTAATTATCTGACAAAATTACTTATATACAATTGATAATAATACCAATGATAATAGCTGTGGTACTTATGGATACTCTGTCACACTAGCTATCTGGTTACTAATCCAAGACATTTGCTTAGACACGGTCCATGGCCATCTTGATATCGTAAATCTCACCTATTCTTAAAGATACATAAACTCACAAACTAGCAGTTTCCCATGTACTTTCACAAAAGGATAACTTCTACTGGGACGTGACCCCCCCTCCAGTGAAAGCACAAACAAGAAAACCTCTGTAACACCATTGAGTCTGTTTTGCTGCTGGCAGTTGTGGTGATGTGTTGGTAAACAAATAGAACAAATATAACTAGCTAAAACAGAGATGAAAAATTACCCTAAAGTTCTCTGGTCTTAACCTTTCACAACACTAGTGAGGGAAGTCAGGATACCCACATGTGACGGACTTGTGTAATAGGCTAAATTCTAAAACCAAGAGTAATATGTGAAAATGGCTGAAAAAATAGACCTTTTAACTGTATAATGTAATATTTGACACATTTCTTGCACAGACTCAGATAAATGATTCTTGTAGATTTTAGCAGGATATTAAAACAGAAAAATTGTTCTTGGCTTTAAAAAATGGGCTTAAAACCACTACGAGCCAGTTGTCCAAGCCTTTCAAATAGCAAGCTCAAAAGAAACATGCTCTCAATACACCCCAGTGAATCATCTCTGATTATAAGGAGTCCATCTAAATTCGTACCATCTAGCACGTGGCTTAGAATCATCAGGAAACTGGTACTCAGAAGACAAGAGAAAACCCTGTTAATTGAGGACAAGCTGAGCATGACAAAAGAGGACAACACTGCCATACATACTCTCGGTTCCTATTCTCCTCTCATTAGGAAGATGGCATTCTTCCAAGTGTTAGAAAGCAAGTCCTCTCAAGCGCACATGCTCCTAGACTTCTAATTAAGTTTCAAAATCATACAAAAAATAAATGACGTGATACTCACATCCTCATCCTGGCTCGAATGGATCAGCTCCACAAGTCTTTGAATTACTTTCGCTTCGTTAAGCCACTAAAGAGAAAGGAAAGTGTCCCTGGTTTGAGATCACATCACTTGGTCACTACTTACTGCTAGCACTGCTTAGAATGGGATACATATGGTGAGGAAACTTTGTCACCCTCTATTTCATAATCCACAAGGCCTAGGCACTACCCTTTACTTCCCGAGGGCTAGAAATTGTTATATACTAATTTGCACTGCCCAAATAAACATAAAATCTTTGCTACACATTGTCCCTGCCACAACGGTCAGACCAAGTCAGTAAGTTAATGGGAGTTGAAGCCAATTGAGATGGGTTCACTATTTCTTGACACAAATAAATACTCTGGCATCACAGAAAGACAGAAATGAGTAAAACCTAATAGGTCATCAGATCCAGTTCCTGGCCAATGCATAATTTTTTCCTACAAATGTACCTTCCTTAAATCTCTAGTTCTACAACTAAAAGATTCATAGATTCCAAAACTAAAAAGAACCAATGTGATCATCTACCTAACCTTCTGGATAATACAGGCCATCTTCAGTCGTCCTTGTGGCACTTCTCTGAACTCATTCCAATTTAGCAACATTCTTTGTGAACCGTGGGCACCAGAAAAGGATGCAGCATTCCAGCAGTGGTTGCACCAGTGCCAAATACAGAGGTAAAATAATCTTCCTGAATGAGATTCCCAGATTTATGCATCCAAGAATTGCATTTGCCCTTCTGGCTACAACACTGTGGCTGTGTCTAGACTGGCCAGTTTTTCTGGAAAATCAGCCGCTTTTCCGGAAAAACTTGCCAGCTGTCTACAGTGGCTGCTTGAATTTCCGCAAAAGCACTGACTTCCTACTGTAAGAAATCAGTGCTTCTTGCGGAAATACTATTCTGCTCCCGTTCAGGCAAAAGTCCCTTCTGCGCAAAAGGGCCAGTGTAGACAGCTCAGATTTGTTTTCCGCAAAAAAGCCACGATCGTGAAAATGGCGATCGGGGCTTTTTTGCAGAAAAGCGTCCGTGCCAATCTAGACACTCTGTTCCGAAAATGCTTTTAACGGAAAACTTTTCCGTTAAAAGCATTTCCGGAAAATCATGCCAGTCTAGACGCAGCCTGTATGTTTAGCTGATTCACCACTAGAACTGCCAATCTTTTTTCACGGTCACTGGTTCCCTGGATAGTGTCCCCTATTCTCTAACTATGGCCTATATTCTCTGTCCAGAGATGTACACATTTACATTTAGCTGTATTAAGATGTAGATTTTGTTTGTGCCCAGTTAACTAAGCACTCTAGATCACTCTGATCAGGGAAATGAGCTGTCCTCTCCATTAGTTACCACTTCCAAATTGTGTGTCATCTGCAAACTTTGTCAGTGATGTTTTCTGCTTTCTTCCCTATCATTGATAAAAATGTTAATGTTGTAGAGAGCCAAGAACCAAGTCCTGTGACACCCCACTAGAAACATGCCTACTTGATGATGATTCGCAGTTTACAATTACATTTTGATACCTATCAATTATCAAGCTTTCAATTCATTTAATGTGTCCCATGTTAATTTTATAACACCTAGGGGTTATTGTTTTTAATCAAAATGTCATACGGTACCAAGTCAAATGCCTCCGTTACTTCTAGTGTCTCAAGCAATAGGTCTAGTAGTTTTTGTGATCTGGCCTCAAATGCAAAGGATACCTGCGCCAATACCACTTTGCCCATAGATTTATAGATTATGAGGCCAGAAGGGACACTGTGATCCTCTAGCCTGGCCTCCTGAATAACACAGGCCAGAGATCTTCCCTGAACTAATTCCTGTTGGTCAAGAACGTGGTCCGCTGTCTAAATCTTACTATGCTCACACTCAAACTGGATTTGTTAGGTTGGGTTTTAATGTGACTCCTTTCTCTTTCCTCATTTCCCAGCAGCCTGCTCCCCTTTCTAGCAAGAAACATTCCCCATTACACCAGGTGACCCTTTATTAGGACAGACTGTTACAAAACCCGTTCTCTCCCAGAAGGGTCCCAGCCACCAGCCACAACCAGAAAGGCAAGAAGAGGTGAGCAGAAACATTTCCTATCTGTGAAGTCTATTCCATAAGGATTATTGCTTAAGGTAAGTGGACATGGTACTCTAGGATATATTGCCACAACAAGTCCGCACTGGCTGAGGGGAAAGCCAAGTTCCATCAGTCTAGTTATGTGGCCCCCGTCACCCTCCTATCAAGTGTTTAAAGATGGTCCTGAAGTTCTGCTGATGTTACAGAAAACTTAACATTTTCAGTTGCCACAACAGCGCTGCTAGGGTAAACTTGGTGTAGGACTTTGGTCCAAGCCTTTATCTCTTCCTATCTCCTCTTATTCTCTGCACTTCCAAAATCCACCAGCTGGCTAACCACGCCATCTATAATCATTATATCCAAGTTCCTCCCTCCAGCTTCATCTCCCTCTGCCCTTGCCACTCCTCTGAAACTGTTCTCACTAAAGCTTCTAGTGACTTCTTCCTATCCAAATCTCAGGACCTCGACTGCATCCTTTCTTATCTCTTAGCTGCTCTGCATATCCAGTTACACTCCCCAACCATTGTAAACCCTGTCCTCCCTTAGTTTTTTAATCCCATCTGCTCCAGATTATCCCCCTACCTCTCTGATCATTTGTGTCCCCCATTTGGAGTCTACCTGCTCCACCTGCTTCCCTCAGGACTCTATCTTTGGCCCCCTCCTCCTCCATCTGCTCCCACTTTCCCGGGGATCTTATCTGCTCACATGACTTCAACTACTGTCTTCATGCCGAGGACTAAAATGTATCTGGTCTGCTAACCCGTCATGCCCTATCCAACTCTCTCATCTTAGCCAGTCCCTTCAATATATCTCTTTGTGTAAGTCTGGCAATCACCTTAAACTCAACATGGCAAAAAATGCCATGGTACTGATATTACCACTATCCTCCCACTGAATCCCATAACATGGGCAGCTTGACGTCTCTCTCTCTTTCGACCAGGAGCAGGGAACCTTTTTTGGGTTGGGAGCCACTGACCCACAAAACAATCAGTTGGGAGAAGGGGGTTGCGAGAGGGCTGGAGTGCCAACGCAGGCTCCCCAATGCTGGGGGAGACCATAAGCCTCCTCATCTGGCTCCCGAACCTTAGGTACCCCACCCCTGCTTTAGACCCATACATGCTGGATATACCTATATCCAGAGCTCAATGAACCGCGGCGAGCCCCGCTCGCCAGCCATGCTGTCCGGCGATCTGTACATGCGCAGATCACCTGAACCCAGCTCTTCCGGGTTGCAATCTACTCGCCACGGGCATACAACGAGAACTACCATTCAAGTCCTTATTTCTTGATTTGACTTCTTCTCTGTGGCCTGACATCCACCTCACATAAGTGAACCTAACCAAAAAACTGTCATTTTGACCAAGTCGTTGTCCCTTCCTTACATCCCTCTACTGGCTTCCCTTCCCCACTGTGTCAAACTCCAACTTCTGGTCCTTCCCTTCAAGGCTCATCCCAACTTAGCTGGTCTTGTATCTTCAACACAGAGTCCCCCCTCTCTCTTTTACAAAGCAAGCTAGCATCCATCTCCTGTTGGTTTTCTTGTCCTCCGCATGCTACCACATGAACATAATACAGCATGTGGTGACCCTGAGTGGCAGAAAGGGACAACAGCCTGACCCTTTACCAAACTTTTAGGTGTGGCAGGAAATCCCTTTCCATTACATTCTCCCTGGGTATACGCAGAGGGATACAGAATTACAGCTTGTCTAGGGCAGCTCCTCAGCCTAATTTTACATTACACGGCACACTCCGACCCGAGAGAATCTAGCCTTTAGTGTTTTTTGGTTTGTTAGTTGGTTTTTGACCATTTGATTCTCTCTCTCTCTCTCTCTCTCTCTCTCTCTAATTTGGGCTTTTGGCCTTCTCCCTAAAAGGAAAGAGATCTCCTTTTCGGGAGGGGGGGGCGGGAGGTCCGGTCTTTTCTGCACTGATCTACCATGCTGCACTTCAAGAAGGTAAGAATGGGGACCAAGCGTTGATATTAATTTATTTCCCCTTTGAAAGTATGTTCTCATGAACCTGCTTCAGAGGGGGAGCAAAACTGAGCTGAGACATTGCTCCAGAAATACTTCCATTGCTCCAGAAAGCTCCCTGCTCTTGAGAGGCTGAGCTTATTCATTCCCCTCTCCCATACGGGCCCTTCCCGGGGTTCTCAGGAAATATATTGGCCAGAGAAACCTGACAGACTTCCCAGGAGCTCTAACCCAGGGGTCTCCAGCCTTTTGACACCCAAGATCACTTTTGAAATGTGAGGACAAACCAAGATCTACCCCATCCCTTCCCTAAAACCCCGGCCCTTCCTTGAGGCCCCGCCCTCTCCGTTCCCCTACTCTCCATCACTTGCTATCCCTGGCCCTTATACACTCTAAGGATATGGCTACACTGCCACTTTTTTTCAGCAGTGGAAAAAAGAAAGAAGAAATGTTTCCGACATTTGGCCTGTCTAGACTGGACCAAATGTCAGAACTCCCCCTTCTTTCGGAAGCCCCCTCATTCCTTGTGGAACGAGGAATACAAGGGCTGCCAAAAGACCGTGTTTGCCGGAAAAACTCCTGCAGTCTAGCCGGACCCTCCCTGGGTTGAGACAGACGGTGCGGGCTCTACAGTATGAATGAGGGATTTAGGTGTGGGAAGGGTGAGAGGTGCAAGGGAGGGAATTTGGATGCAGGAGGATGTGGAGAAGGGAGTGCTGACTCAGGGAGGGGGCTCCAGGCTGGTGAGTGCTGAGTTCAGGTGGAGGGTTGGGGTGCTGAGCAAATCACAGGCTTGTGGCTGTGAGGGTGCAGGAGTTTGGGCTGGGGTGCATGAGGAGCTCAGGGCAGAGAGGTTGGGAGTATGATGGGCTCAAGACACAGATTTGCAGTGTGGGAATGGTGCAAGAGTGTTGTGGCAGAAGGCTGAGGATGTGGGATGCAGGAGTTTGGGGATGTGAGAGGCTCAGGACAGGGGGTTCCAGTGTATGAGAGGCTCAGATCTGGAGTCAGGGTGGGGAGACAGGAGTGTTATGATGCTGTGGCCAGATGAGGACTTGGCCCCAATTGGGGGCTTGTTGGCCAAGCTTCATTTTTAAATAAAATATTATGGCAAACACAAAAGGTTTCAGTATCACCTTTATTTCGGAGAAGGGCGGGTAACCAGTTTTGAGTCAGGGATCATTGGCCCACAGAAAAGTCAGTTGGAGCCACACAAGTGAGATACAAAAACACAACCCCTCCAAACCCCTCAAACCTCACTAATGTGGCTCCAACTGTGCTTGTGGGTGCTAGGACAGGGTTCTGGGGCAGGGTACCAATGGGTGCAGGGGCAGGAGACAGGGTGCTTGTGGGTGCTGGGACAGGGTTCGGGAGCAGGGTGCCAATGGGTGCTGGGGCAGGAGACAGGGTGCTTGTGGGTGCTGGGACAGGGTTCGGGAGCAGGGTGCCAATGGGTGCTGGGGCAGGAGACAGGGTGCTTGTGGGTGCTGAGACAGGGTATTTGTGGGGGTCTCGGTGGTGGGGAGGGAACAGGGACCAATACCTGTGGATCCTGCAGCTGCACGCCAAGGCCCAGGAAGTGTGTGGGCTGCTCCCCAGTCCCCCAAACAGTGGCGCGGTACCTGAAACGCTGGTCCGTCGCATGCCTGATGCCTTCCTGCGCCGGGGGGGAGGGGGGAGTGGAAGTAGTCCCGGACCACGCCAGCCCCAACCGCTGGGGTAGTGCGCACTGCCGTGGGGAGTGGAGGAGCAAGGCCCAAGCAGCCAGAGCCGGTGCAGTCCCGGATCCCCACCCCCTCCCCCGAGTGCAGGAAGGCAGCAGGGGAACAAAGTCCCCAGCATGCGATGGACTGGCGTTTTAGGTACTGCGCTGGCTGTTGGGGCAGGGGAGAGAGCAGCCCACGCACTTCCGGGACCTGGCGCGCAGCTACAGAACTCCCCCTGGCCCTGCAGAAAGCCCACACTACCTCCGTGGTCCCTGGAGGTAGCATCAGCACGGCCTGCATCTTGGGGGTAGGGGGCATCGAGGGCGGGCCCCCAAAGCCTCGCGATCGATTGATCAAGCCTCCAAGATCGACCAGTCGATTGCGATCGATGGGTTGGTGACCACGGCTCTAACCCCTCCGTGCATAGGATCTACTGGGCAGCGAGGTCTGTTTTAACCTGGAGGTCTCGGCCAGGGCTAAGAGCAGGGACCCTCCAGAAGCCTACTACGAAGGTAGCAGCAAGTGTGGGGAGCTGGGCCCAAAGGCCACTTACTGAACTTTCTAGAATTGGCAGCATCTGGTCTCCTCCATGCTCAACTCATGCGGAAGCAGAGAGCAAGGGGCAAGAGGCAGCAGAAATAAGTCTGCTGCTTTGAGCTTAGGGACTCTGCTGTGACCTTCCACCTGACAAGCTGCCCCTCCAGCTTCACATCCCTCATGGAGATGGGAAGTTGATTGTCCTGGAGCCAATTCTTTTCCCATCCTGCCTGTCTCCTTTCCTGTCAGGGGTAGGGCGCTGAAGCGATCCACCTGGCCTGGGCTACATCTTACCCAGCACAGCTAGCTTCTCCAATGCTGCCTGGGGAAGGAGAAGAGAGACAATTCTGCCTAGTCTGGGGAAACTGTGATGCCAACAGGGCCGAGAAACAGACCTTTCCTCTTTCTGACTTTCCTCAGCTCCCTGATACGATACCCATTCTAGGGCTGGTGCCCCTGCAAGTAACAGAGCACAAGAGACTCTCCCCAGAAATCAATGCATATGCGGGACACAACTGCAAGTTAGCTAGATAATTACGAGACAAACTGTTAGTGTGAAGCGAAGTTTGGAATTTCCTTTCAAAAAAGTTGGGCAGTGAAGAGGTCTAGTTGCGCCTGCCTCTCAGTGGGGCTCAGGAACAAACGAAGAAAATGTCAGGAGATGGGATATTCCTGTTGTCAGTGACTAACAAGCTAAATTCTGCCCACAAGCTTCAAGCAGGCCAACATACGCACTGCACTGCACAGGATGTGTAGATCTTAGCACAAGGAAGAAAAATACTTTTTTAGTAGAGGAGTGAATTTACTCTCGTGTTACTTGAAACAGAATAACAGCGCCTTGAAAACGCTTTCCACTCCATTCCCCCAACAACAGAGAAAGGTTAAGCAAGCCTCACATTTAGTACTTCCTGCCGTAAAGGTGCTGGCTCCACACAGCTGATCAGTCGAAGCAGCAGGTCCATCATCGCAGATGTATCAATATGCTTTAGTACCAGGCTAATAAATTGGTCTTTTTTCCTCAAAAATCCAATCACCTTTAAAAAAATAAAACAACACTACATGAGTTTTCTGTTCAATCATGAAAATGGCGCCAGAGATCTCAGCATACCCAAATTCGTGTCTCAATCAACCAATGAGAAACAATTATGATGAATAATTTTTGAGAGAGAATAAGCAAGCAAAGGAACACTTGGCTGCAATAAAATGCCAAACAGAGCTCCCCGACAGTCCTTGGTCATGTCCCAAAGAAGTCCTATTCAACTGAGATATATGGAGACTGAGGTCACTAGTGAAGCTGAAGTATTTTTAAATCTACTGAGGCTCCTTCCTATAAAAAAATCTCTATGTTAAAAGGGAGGAAAGTTTGCACTGGAGTTCATTCCTATGCTATTACATGGCAAATATTCTAAGCCTCTTAGATGTAGGCATAGTACCAGTAAGACAAGTTTATATGTTAAAAGATAAAGCATGAGCATACAGGCATCGGCCCCTCTGAAGCAAAAGTGAAAATTATATATTAGTCTTTAGGTGCACAAATAATTCACACACATCAAAATGGAAAAGTTTACAAGAAGCCTTACAAAATACACACTCCATTTTCAACTTCAGCTCACAGCACTGGCAGAAGAGGGTAGAAACTGCCTATTCAGTGTTCAAAGCACCATACAACATACACCACTAGTAGCCAGTGTGTCTGTATCAAAGCAGATCGCATTACTACCTGTTCCGTTTTTCTTGCAATGAGATTCCCAATGGTTTTGCTGAAGAAACTGGCAAGCAAAGGGTTCAAAGGAGGCTTGTGATCCAAGAAGTCATAGAGGATATTCAATAAAGTTTCATCCCCTCCTAGTCTGTCGTTGATCTGTGGCACATCAGAGGTCAGGAGTTCACAGGCAGTATTTGGATATCTAGAGACATAGAACCAAGACGGCAGCTGAAGGTGAGGTTAGAGCCTTCTACCAATTCTTAGAAGACACTGAAATAACTGCTATGAAATAAAGCTGCAACACAAAACCACCAATCCATTTTACACAGGAACTCGTGTGAGAACTCCAGCTTTGGATCCTCGAGCAGCGTCCAATCCAGTCTAGATAAGGGAGTGACAGTCACTGCTGATGCTGTGTGCGCACGCTATTGCAAATTCATCTGTACACTTTTATTTCAAGATCATTGTAACCGATATTAAAATTATGTTATAGTTCCCACTGAAAATATTTAACCAAAAATGCAGATCAGCATCCTTTACAAGCCAGGAGAAGGGCGCCAAGATTGTTTTTCTATGTGTGATTTAATGTCTTATACAAATTCCACAGGGGATTTTGTGGAATGCTGCAGCTTCAAATGAGGATTAATTATTCAGCTGAAGCCCCAACAGGCATAACTGACAAAAGGTCACAATAGTTACTGCCCCTGATAATCTTTACAGGCTATGATTCTCCAGACACTAAAACATAGCTCAGTAAATCAACGGTTTCTTCTTCCTTGTACAGCTGACGTGGAGCAGTAACTACAATTTCACCTGAAGTTGATTGAGCCAAATAGTGGTGACACTGGGAGAATGAAAGGAAAGCCCAAGCCAGAGGTCTGTGTGTGTCTAATTTAGAAGACAAAAGAGAGTTATCTACCTCTACAGAAACTGTTGTTCTTTGAGATGTGGGGGCAGACGCGTATTCTGCTCAGGGATGCATGTGCCCAGTGCACCAAAGCCTTAGAGAAATCTGCCCAGCAGCACTTAATATTTAAGGGCAGCAAAGACCCTGACCCCCAGCCTTCCTTTAAAGCACATGTCAAGAGTTGGGGCTCAAAGGCAGTAGGGGTGGAGGACCACGTCTGCACCCATCTCTCAACAAACAATAGTTACCGGAGTCATCTGAGAAGCAAATGGCACCTAGAGTTTTCGCAGCGCTTCACCTGGGTGGAAGTGGAATGCTCTGCAGTCTGTGCGGTTTGGGGAACATGCAGATGTGGACTGCACTGAATGCACCCCAAGCACAAGAGCAGAACTTTGCCTCTCAGAACACATGAGGAGGCAGCCATGCCCTCTCTCTCAGTAGCACCTCTTTGGACTCCGTGGGATACGGAGCAGCCTCTAGCCACAGTAACTATGGCCTGCCAAGGACAGAGGCTGCTATGCAGCTGCAGCCCCTGTGCATGAGGGTGGAGGGGGACGGATCCGAGCTCCCTGCGGACAGAGGCTGCTCTGCATCCCATGGAGTATCCTCTGTCCGTGGGGAGCTTGGACCCTTCACGGACAGGGGCTGCTGCCACCCCGCACTGCTTCCTCTGTATCAGAGGCAGTAGCACAGAGCGGCAGGAAGCCAGTCTGAGGGGGGAGCTGGTTTTTAAACTGGCTCCCCTCATGGACTGAATCCCATCTGCCACCCCTGCACTGCTGCCTTGGATAGAGGGGCAGCAGTGAGGAGCGGCAGGGGGCTCCGTGGAAGTGGGGCCGGAGCGCACTGGCTGCCGGCCTCACCCCCAGAATACCGAATAGTCGTGGAGCCGCACTTGTTTGCTGCCTGTGGTGACTGTGGAGTATAATAGTTCCCAGTGCTTGCTACGCTCTGTGGTCACTCTGCAGTATAACAGTCCCTGCTATCACAGCGCTCCCTTTCTGTTCGGTGAGAAACAACCCTATACCACACACATCCCATTGTCCTGGCACCTCTAAACCCTTACCTTGCTTAAGTTAGGAGAAGAGGGGGCGGAATACCAAAGTTGGTGGTCCTAGTTCTACCATTTAGTAGGAGTACTTGAACATTCACATGCCTGAATACAGTCATACAAAATATATTCACTATCTTACATATACATTAAGTTAACAACACCATCATCAGCGTTTCATCAGCCTTGTGCTGAGGAAAAATGTCTGCAAGCAACTCTCCGATTCATTTTTCTTCCCATAAAAGAGAGAATCTGAGTACGTACTTGAAGCGGACCTTCTCGTCCATGTCAATGGGGGGCTCATGTGTGATGAGGTTGACCAGCTCCTCCATGCAGTGCTGCTGGCAGATGAAGTCCAGCAGTTTGCGGTTCTGTGCCTTGCACTCCTGTAGGATGTCATCTTCATCCATCAGCTCACGCAGCGTCACATCCTCCTTATCCAGCAGCTTGTCCACATGCGATGTTGTGTTCAAATCAAACTTCCAGAACATGATGGTGGAACACACCCAGCTGCAAAGCAAAGGGGAAGGATTAATGCTCAGTCTCCTCAAGTCAATCCTCAGCTACTTCTTCCCGGGTTGTGAAAAAGACAATAAGCACCAAAGCTGGGTCTTTTCAGGGTGCCTTATCCTGTCTCTGAAATAACAATCTGTTAAATTCTTTAAGCAAAATGAAACACACATTTCTGTGACTGAAAAAAAATTACTCAACACCATGCAAACTATACCTGTCTGCCTTAAGGTTCAATCCTCCAAAGTATGAAGGACTCTGACCCCAGTAAAGCAGAGTATTTATGCAAGTGCTTAATTTTAAGCAAAATAGTTCCATTGATATCAATGCAAATGCTCAAATTTAAAATGTGCTTAAATACTTTGCTGTGCTTAAAGTGCTATCTATCTGGCAAGATGAAGCTCTTCCACCGCAAATATTTTTTTCAGGACAACATCATTGTGCGGGTCACAATTAAAGAAGTTAAATAGGTGCAATTTACTTATCAGCATTTTTTCTTACTCTGAAATGGGCCCCTGCTTCTTCTTGATAACTGGTTTATTGTTTTCTCATCTTTCAAGCAGAGAGAGAGAGGTTCCTTAAAAAAACCTCTTTCCAGCTAAACAATGGAAAGACTGAAGCACCTTTTGCCAAGCATCCCATTGGCCAAAGACAACATATCTAGTTTAAATTGATAAAGAAGTGCACCAAGACTAGACAGCCACACTCCAAAATGTTATCATAGAATCATAGATACTAGGACTGGAAGGGACCTCGAGAGGTCATCAAGTCCAGACCCCTGCACTCATGGCAGGACCCGGTACTGTCTAGACCATCCCGGATAGACATTTATCTAACCTACTCTTAAATATCTCCAGAGATGGGGATTCCACAACCTCCCTGGGCAATTTATTCCAGTGTTTGACCACCCTGACAGTTAGGAACTTTTTCCTAATGTCCAACCTAAACCTCCCTTGCTGCAGTTTAAGCCCATTGCTACTTGTTCTATCCCCAGAGGTCAAGATGAACAAGTTTTCTCCCTCCTTGCGACACTCTTTTAGATACCTGAAAACTGCTCTCATGTCCCCTCTCAATCTTCTCTTTTCCAAGCTAAACAAGCCCAATTCTTTCAGTCTTCTTTCATAGCTCATGTTCTCTAGACCTCTAATCATCCTATGAATGAAGTACTGTGCTGTTCTGCCCAGGAAATGGCCATGTGTTTGAATGAGGAAACCCTCTTGGAAGATGGGATCTGTTATGATCTTTTGTACGATGGAGATCCCCAAATGTATTCACCTGGGAATAGTGGATATGGATGCTTTGCACCTTTTCCTGTCACCTATCTGCTCCTGAACCTGCATCCAATTTCCTGCAAGGGTTTGTTATATATAAACAGAAACTGAATATCCCATCTACAACTAAAATCCACAACTGATGAAGAAAGGGAAACGGACTGGATCAATTCCTAGACAGAACTGAAAATCATCTCCTCTGGAAAAAACTAACTATTCCAGATGGGTAAGGCACCTGTTCTTACTAGCTCTGCTAGTCACTGCTAATAGGAAAAACAGTATTTTAATGGCAACTACAGGGAAAATGCCTCTCCACATATGTCGGTACAGAGACTACGTGATGCCTCCAATCATACTAGTCTCCAGGTGGCATCTCTACAGAGACACAGCTTTCAGGAATTACAAAACATGAAGTGGCTGCCAAAATAGGTTAGACATGGAAGGAATATGTTCCAAGAATGGTAACTGAGTCTTGGATCTTCAAGAAGCAGGGAATCAGACCCAATTAAGATCTCAGTTTAGGACAAGGAATTTCAAATATATCCCTGGATGAGAGGCCAAATGGAATTGTTATGCTTTAAGAGCAGCATGAGGATTCACATTTCACAATCTCTTGAAATGTCCAGATTTGTGGACAGCTTTTTTAAATCTGATGAGGAAGTCTACAAGCTTTCCTGAATACATATTCATTCATTTGTCTAAAAGGCAAAAACCCCTCAGGTTCCAAGCCAAGAGTTTCAAAGTGCTTTAAATCTGGGAGTTCAAAGAGGATACTGGAATTAAAAGTTCTCAGTCCAGAAAGTTCAAGAATGCTGAACTGATAACTGCAGGAGTCTCTGAGACCATGGCTCCCTGAACCACTACATTTCTGTTAACTGGTTGAAGACTAAATTATTTAGCGCCCATTCTAATGTGTCCAAGTGTCATTTGTTTTGTTAGTCAGCTGACCTGTATGTTTCTCTTTTGCTAAAAGTTGTGAGCTCCCCAGAGCAGAGATTGTCCTAAATGATGCTTTTGAAAGCACCCAGAGACATCTATGAGCATCCTGTTCTGGACTGCTCATTAGAGACACCATCAAACTGGTGAGAAAACAAGGAACGGAAGAAAAGCAAAGGCCTGGAATTGAAAATGGAGCCACAATGTTGTCAAGTGCAGGCAGTCTGGTACTATAGGAAAATTAGCATGTGCAGATAGTCTTTCTTGTAGGGCAACAAGAACTCTCCATTAGAAAGACCAGCAGTTGACGGAATCGGGCCTTCCACACCATCAATCAGCCTGGACAGAACCAGCCTTGGGGGAAGTCCGTCTGTTCTTTTTTCTTCCAAAATGAGGCCAGAATGAACATGCACAGCCTCAACAAAAAAAACCACCTTCAGTCAAAGGAGTAATTTTTATGCAAGAAAAACAATCTAACGGTTGTTCTTTGAGATGCATTGCTCATGTCCATTACAAACAAGTGTGTGCATGTGCTGCATGCACGATCATTGGAAGGTTGGTTCCCCAATGCCAGGTTGGCTGTGGAGCCTCCTGGAGTGGCGCCTTTTTACCCATGTATCTAGCTCCCTGGCAAGCTGCTGCCTCTTCAGTAAGGGGACAGTACACAACTTCTGTACAAGCCTGTAACTCCCAGCTGGTGAAGGGAGGGGTCAGGGGAATACTTCACACAACCCAAGTACTTTCCCCTCACTACCTTATCAGGGGAACAGGAAGATAAGCAAGCCGTATCCCAGTACACACAGCTGCTGCCCCCACTCGCCCAAAACAGCACCCTTGGCCCATCCAAAAGACCAGAAAGGGACAGAGAAGAAACACAGGGAACAAAAACTACGGGGATGAACTGAGCAGAGAAGTGAAAAAATGTGAGAAAAATACTGAAAGGGAGAAATACCAATCTGGGGAGACAGTCAAACTGAGAAGAGAGTCTTCTAGACAGAGGATTTTGGAAAAACAAACATTTCAAAGAAAGGAAACTCTACAGAAAAAAAGCAACCTAAGGATGACCGTACGAATAGGAAAAAAGGTAGAGAGTAGGGTCTCAGCGCTCCAGTAGCAACAGATCGGCATGAGTGACACACGCCATACATTTGGGATGTTACTGTGCCAGAACACTGCTGGGGTTACCATTAATACGCTGTGCTAGAAAGTGAATGGCATGCAGTTGGGTTAATGTATCGTCTTTCACTATCTGCTAGACATAAGAACAGCCAGAATGGGTCAGCCCAACAGCTTGTTTAGCTCAATTTCTGGTCTTCCAACAGTGGCCAGTGCCAGATTCTTCAAAGGGAAAGAACAGAACAGGACAATTACTGAGTGATCGCTATCATCTAGTCCCCGGTTCTGGCTGTCAGAGGTTATGGAATACCCATAGAATGGTGGCAGGAGTGAAAATCTTAGTGTCCTGAAGTATCCTAACAGCAGCATAGTAGGTAATGTGAAATGGCAAGGCAGCAGACAACCCTCAATCTTTCATTACCCTTACTTTTCAGGTTTTGAGCTGACACGGTGCGTTAATGCAGCCTTAACAATCACTAAATTAAGCATGGATGTGTATTTTCTAGGTGGGTTTTTTCCAGAGATTTCCCCTCTCTCTCTGGTCACAGAGGGAGCAGTAAATAAATGAAATTTACCATAATTTAAAGATTATAATAGTTCTAGTGCCAATTTTTTTACAGGATGTTTTTCTCATTGTGTAAATTAAGTAAGCATTTAAAAAAGCCTTAAAAACTAAAATCTATCGCATGCAACTGAGGCTTTGAATCATGTACCTTCAAGCTCACAACTCAGCCCTATACCACTTGAGCAAGAACAGTAACTAATAGCTTCTATTTAGTCATACATTTTTCCTGATGACTCTCAAAAGTATTTGGTTGCAAGCTGCTGCATCACAGAGATTGGGAATACTGGAATCTATTCGTGACTGAGAAAAGCATGTGGTTAAGTGGTCAGAGATTGAATGTTCTCTGATTATATTATCTGACAGGCCGTGCAAATTAATAGCTGAGTTTTGGGTCTACCATGTTATGATCTCGTGTAACTTTTATTAATTTATATGTAAAATGAGGTGGAAGTGCAGACTAAGGGAGTTAGATTGAGGTTAACTGACCAGTCGAGTAGTCAACTGACTAGTGGACTACTCGACTAGTCGATAGGTACTTCCACATTCCTCCTTTGAAATATACAAGAGCCACAGTGGGGGCTCTTGTGCATTTCAAAGCCACAGAGCCCTCATGAAGACCAGAGTCAGGAGGGGACTCAGTCCTCCGCTGACCCCAGACTCCATGCTGCACTGCATGCTGCACGGAGCTCGGGGTCAGCTGGGGACTCCTCAGCTGACCTGGGGCAGCCAGTGCATGCTGATTCCTGGCTCAGCTGTGCGGCGCTGCCCCTTTAAAACACCGCCTTGGCATTTCAAAGGAGCAGTGCCCTGGAGCCCGGGCTCAGCTAGGGAGTCCCCAGCTGACCCCCGGCTCCACAGTGCCGACCCCGGGCTCAGCTGTGGGATGCTGCCCCTTTGAAACACCTCCTTGGGGGTTTCAAAGTGACAGCGCCACACAGCTGATATCTGGCTCAGCTGTGCGGCACTGCCACTTTAAAGTATCCCTGCTTTCCCCCCATTTGCTGCCTCTATCTGAGCATTTGCTTATCGAATAGTTGATAGTCCTTAATATCCTTAGTGCAGACTGGACTGCCTTTTACAGTTGGGGTTTACCGACTTTGTCAACAACAAGG